ACCTACGGCATAAAATACGATATTCCTACCACCTATTTAATTTCCATATCCATGAAACACGGTTTTAGGAAAATTATAAACTGAACTAAGAATATGTTGGACCCAGTACGGATGGTACACGACCCATACATACATAGACGAACGAATAACTGGATGGATGGCATTTTAAATATATTTTCATTAAGATGAGCCAATAATATATCTAAGTGAAATTGTTACCAACGTCCAACTTATTTTTGTAAAGTACTTGTTAAGATTAAGATGTAACATGGCTGAGATATCTCACCTTCCATCAAGCGAACCCCAGGTTCGTCTGTCCTCCTCTTAAAAAAGTATTACGTACCAAAACATGGGACATAACTCATGACATTTACCTCACCTTAAAAATTGGCCTTATTAAAATAATTCGATGCATATAAACCGATTTAATCAATGCGAAATTCTTGCTGCACTTTTTCCGACACTTCGATGGATTGACCCGCGCGAATATAAATAAAGTTAATGAAGTGAAAATTAAGGCACGTCAATGTACAAAAAAACTTTATTCGTTTACGTAAATATCAAGTGGAAACTATTTCTCCAATCACTGACTTTGTATACGAAATCCGGAAATATTAATTGATTCGTCTTTCTCGAAATTTACAACGCAATTTGCAAACAGTCACTAAATACAATTGCTCATATTAATGTTCGCTTGGATTCGATTGATAGCTATTTATTATATTATCGCGAAAAAGTGAACCTTACAGTACCTACAAATAGGAGATAAATCACAATAAGTGATTGTTATAGCAATACGTTTTAATGTATTATTATAAAACCTTATTTTATGTAATTTCGGAAGTTTAATTCGCTTAAATTATTTTTCAACCTTTAATTCACAATGAAGCTATTATTATCCTCTCTATTTAAGATCTATTGATTAACGAATGCATGTATTTAAGATAGTTCCATTGATTACAGGGTAATCAAGTACAGTTCCATACTAAAATGATGTTTATGTAACTTTGCTACACGCGTGTAGGACTTATTAACAAAGAATGAATAAATATATATTACCCTATTTCCGAATATCCAAGGCCAAAATTAGTCGACTGCGACCGCACGTTGCTTGTTATTTTCAGCAGTAGTCACAAATTCATTTAATTAGTAACACTTGTAAAACCCAATTTATCTCACAATCAAATGTAGCGCGTGTTTTGCGGACCCAATTAACAACATTTTGTTTTGATCGAAGATAGCTTCATGAGCCATTGTTTAGAACCAGGGGCATCGATAGTTGAAGAGCTGCTGTGCCAATCGCTCAAGCTGTCACGCCTAAATGGGGACTGTTTGCACTCACAAATACTCAATCACTCGAGGGTCATTTTATTCGTTATCATTATAAAGTTTTGTAGATAAATAGTCATGCAACAGAAGTTGCGACATGTTGTTAACTATGATAAATACTCGCCTTAATACAATATGTGGGATGCTAATGTGGTTTACATTGGTATCTGTTGCAGCACAGTAACAGCTTTTAAGGCGTCCGCCTCAGTGGCTCAATGGTTCAACGCCTTCCTAGCTAATCGGATGCCAGGAAAACAATTGCTTTGTTCAGGCAAGGAATCTTACTAACTACTTATAGTTTCATATAATAAGTAACAAACGTACAGTTTGAATTATCTTATAAAAATGAATGGACAGACATCTCCCTAGAATAAGGGAGAGATGTCTGTCTATTTTACTCCCTCTCCTCCGATCGTCTCCTGACAAATCTTAAAGCGGTATTTCAACGACAACTACGAATTTGTCGATGAAACTAAGATTCTATATGTTCATAATAATAAAGTTTGCAAATATAAATTTTACAAAGGGATATTTGCAGATAACATAAATCAGTAAAGTTAAAGTTTATACATTTAATAAAATTTTGAAAGCAATAGCAATAGTAACACGTTATTAAAATATTAATATTTGCCTATATTACTAAAAGTTTGTAAAGGCATGGAGTTAATTATTATTCTTAGATAGATAAATAACCCGTTAGGTACTAAAGCCATGACTACATTGTTTATATGGTCTTACGAATTTATAATAATTTCTAAAAGAAAATTCAGCAAATAAAAAAAAACTCTAATCTACATCATAAAACAGCATGGTATATTATTCTTTCAGATATATAATGATTGTAGTAGACCTTGAATCAGTTTAAATAAAAAAAGCTAATACAAAATGCGTAAGTTATACAAATTAAAAAATATATACGATTTTAAGTAATAGGTATGTCTGATTACGAGGTCGTGACACTACAGGAACGAGTGATTTCTTGTTTTTTTCAGAGAGATAAAAAAAATATTTTGCTCTGCTAAGTAAACGAAACATGTCTAGCTAATTAACCTATTTACCAATATACTAAAATGTGTAACATCTTTGAAGTAAACAAATATAATGACTACCAAATGACATAGTTTCGAATGTAATATTGTAAAATAAAAGATGCCAACGATGTTGACAACGCCAGTTATCTAATTTATTTAATATTATAAAACATTAATTATAATAACAACTATAGCGTATTGTATTGTTGTTCTACCAATAGACTTACCTTGTATACTGTGGTCGTGGGTTCAGTTCCCGGTATGATAAAAAAATTTTTTAGCCCCCATTACCCAGTGACATTATAATGATTTAATTCTCAAGCGATTGTGGTTTTCATACAAAAAACGGGTAGTATATTATTAGATTAAGGTTTATACAATATAAAGATATATTATGATAACAATTATATTCGTTGAACTGGTGCGAGTTTTCTCTTTCGGCGTAACCGGACAAGTGCAAGACAATAAATCAGAAGTGTAAAGTCGCCTCAATTTACGCTCATTATTTTAGTCATAAGAAGCAATTTGCCTTGGGCTAATTGTATTAATTAGGGTCCATTAAGTTTGAACGCATTGAAACCTTTGTGAAATTCTGAGTCGCTCGGTGTGCTTATTTTAAAAATTTCACCCCAGCCGACAACATTGTTTTTTTTCTGGTAATTATGCAATTTTCTGGCGATTTTAATCTTTGTCACAATTTTGTTGTTACTGGTTTTGATGACCCACTTGCCCCCCCACTAAAACATTAACCACAAATAAAGAAACAAGTGAACATCTTTATCACACAATGTTTTCAAACTTAACAGTATATAAGAGTAATAATTAATTAGCCATTTGAAGAGCGTCTTTGCCCGCAACCAGAGTGCGGCTAACTTCTAAACGCAATGTGTCTAAGCCGACCTCTAGCGTCAGGTCAAAGGCTAACTGGCTAGCCGAAACTATTGCTTCATGTAATATATACATAATTACATACTATGATGCTATATATTGATGCTTATATATTTAAATTTAAATATTATAAATATCCCAGGACTTATTTTAGGAATATAACAAATTAATGAATAGCTTATAAATAAAAGTTTGCCTTATCGCTAAACAGCAATCTCTTCCAGGCAATCTGAAGTTAAAGGAAAAACAAAAAGAGGATAGAGGACTATATTGAGGCTTATACTGTCAAAACTGACTTTGTGAATTGGGTATAGGTAAAATAGTTGGACATTGCTTCAGAATAGATATGATTCAAGTAATTTTATTTTAATGGACATATCGCGGATAAAAGAAAAAGGCTGCGGTCTTTATTAAACGCATTGCGTATCATTAGTATGATCTTTTATATCTACATCATACTGGTCAGAATTGCACATACATATGCGACGTCTTGTCTTCTGGACATTTACTCTTCTAACGGTTTAATTATATGAGAAACAATGATATTTGTTTATACGGTACGATAAGTCTTCACTTGCGGTGCTTTTGAAGGAGACAGCAGCAGTTTAGTAACATTTTGTCCCTAAACGGCTTAACACGTGACGCTGTGCCCGACCAATTGATAAACAATTAACATACATTTAACCATGCTGTAACTTCACCGTGGGACAGTAGAAAAATACGTGACGGTGGTTTACTTGGTCTGTGGTCGTACGCCTATCCTGCAAGGCGGGGCACCAGTAGTGCCCATTGGTTAGCGACAGAGCGTGACGTCTGTTTTATTGGACACTTAAATAATAAGAGAAAGGAATCCTAGTAAATGTAAATATTTAGTGACAATTGCAATTTAACTCTGCAACCTCATAATATGCTGTCTCTAGAAACAGCCCCGGCACCACAAAGAGTATTAGAATGCAAATTGGTACACGCTATGAGAGAAAATTAGCATTGTAAGCGACATTATTGGAGAATGACTCAGCACGTCACTCATTCCATCAACATTGTGATTTGTGATGCAAGCAAACAGACAAGTTGACTGAAGCAAGCCCGCCCAAGCCCTCAACAATAGCCGTAAAATTCAATTAAAAAAATAGGGTCACCCGGAATAATATGCAACATCAATGTTTTTAATAGATTCAAGTTATTTTAACGGTATTTAACTTTTTAATAATTTTATAGTAGCCGTAATAATAGCCTGTAAATTAATACTTCACTTGAGGCTTGATTTAATAAATTGTGTAAGGTAAGTGCTAAAAGTTGTCAAATGTAATCATTATAATACCATTTGGCTATACCAGTAGGAATATTAGTAGCAATACCGAATAAAACCTAGTATAATATTTTTTAGTATCTTTATACTTTCATTGAAATAGATTGAGCCAATTTACACAACAAAAATCATTTCAAAGAATCTAACATATCGACATACATACAGGATACATTATCGTAATAAATATTTATCTATAAAAAAATCTGATATAACCTTGTTAATTCTGCATAATATAATTTTACCACAGAGTATGGTATTTTCAACATGTAGTTTTATCTGTGGTAAATACGCTTATGCAGTTATCTGTGGTTTACTTCAGCACTGATTAAAGCTTCAAACTCATTGTTAAAAATAGTGTTTTTCTATATTACGTTTGAAAACAACCACACGTTTACGTTAATTTATGTACACAAACAGTACTTATTAAAAATATATAAATAATTATGATCACAAACTTTGATAAGCTGTGCGGCGATTTAGAAAAGCAAGAACTTGAGGTATATTTTAATATCTAATGTCTTGTAAGAAATTAGCTACTAATACCCCATACTTTAGTACTTATTGAATAGTATGCATTCTTTCCGCGATATGTTTTTAAAGGTTGATCTTTTTTTCTTGTATATGTATCTATTTGATTGTGTACTTATTTTATAAACTCCTTTTTTCTGTTTCACCTATCTGCCAGTGTCGTTAGGAAATAAATAAAGAAACCATTTTTACTTCCAGGCTCCAAATGGAATTGCTTCACCAACTACATACGCCCAGTTACTAGCCATATATCTTTATCAAAATGACTTGTAAGTTTTATATTTCTTTAACAAAACATATGTACCCAACATATCTGAATATATAATTATACTATTTACAGGTGTAATGCAAAATTTTTATGGAAACGAATACCCCAGACTATATCAGCAAGTAATCCTGAATTAGCAGCAATATGGGCAGTTGGACAGAAATTGTGGAAAAAGGATTTACCACGCACTTACCAAGCTCTTGCAGCATACCATTGGATAGACCCAGTAGCTACAATCATGAGAGCACTTGAAGGTATTATTGATTGATTTCTAAGTGAATTTATTGAAATATATTTAAGTAACAAACGATTTTACTCTGCAGAAAGAATTTAAAACCATAATGACTATATTTAAAATGTTCATATTATATCAATGTCTTGTTTTATCCATTAATCTTTTAATTTACAGAAAATGTTAGAGAAAGAGCATTCAATTTGATTGGTAGATCATATAGTTCAATATCAGTTGACACTGTTGTCTCTGCAACTGGTCTTAGTAAAGAGGCTGTTTTGCAAATATGTAGAGATCGTAAGTGGGAGTTGAGTGACGACGGAGTGACTGTCAATCCAATACCGCCTACTCAGCCCGCACCGCTGCATACGTCAAGTGAAGACCAGCTCTTTAAGCTCACCGATTTTGTATCATTCTTAGAGAATTAAGTAAGTTTTAATCTTTTATATGTATCCTCTGATAGCTGATGCATGAAATTAATTTGTTTAGTTGAAAACTTGGAATATTGTGATGATTTTTTTAATTTACTATAAAACTCCTTAAACTTAATAATTTGACACTAAAATATTGAAACATAAAGGGTATGAGTTTTATCCAAAAAATAAAAATAAAATTCTATATAATATTAAAATCTCTTATTTCAGATATGTCTTAAAAAAATGAAAATTGTATGTGGCAGTGTACATAGACTTATTCTAAATATCTTAAGACAAGTAAAATTATTTGTGAAAGTACAATCTTGCAATTGCAACTTTTTGTCAAAAACTAAATCTCTTCATATCACAAATAGCCTTAATAAAAGTAACTTATTTTAAGTTTCAGTATAAAAAAATAATTATACTAAATGAGTATCCATAATTGCTTAGCAAAGGCGTCGATAAAATTCGAAATTTGGCATCTCGATATAGAGTATGCGAATTTTTTATATTTCGAAATTACTTATTTCTTTTTCAAGAACTGTCAACAATTAATTAATATCTGACACTTCTAAAAGTGTTTGACTAGGTCTATTAGAGGTTCCGCATACTCTATAGATCATACAATCACTGAAATCTTGTTGAAAATGAGACCTGGGTCTGTCTCGGTTGCAGTCTCATTGAGTTGCTGTCGTCCTCATCACCTAAGGATGTTTCATAACCTCGGTTAACCATCCCACCATTTGGTTCACCAAACACATCTTTTACCGATATATTAGCTGTTGATGTTCTGTGGCGAGGGGCAACACCATGGTTATTGTTCAGCTAAAAGAAAATAATTCCATTTAAAAAAAATATTCCAGCTTAAAATTTATGCATAATATACTTGACAAGGACAAAAATTAATTATATAAGGATGACTCGGTAGCTCAATTGGTAGAGCAACAGCACGGAACGCTGACGATGCCGGTTCAAGTCCTGCCCGAGTCGATTTTTTTTTCAATTTATTTTCAATTTTTAAATTATGTAAGGATGAAATGTAATACCATTCCTGTTACTCCATATTCGTTGTTAGCGCCAAGTGTTTGCATTTGCGACTTTCTTCGCTCAGCCATCACAGAATTTCTTCTCGTTTCTAAAGCTTTCAACGTTTCTCTACGCAGAGTCATCTTTCGATTTAAAACAGGCGTGCCTATTAAAAGTTTATAAAAGTTTATTAAAAGGTCTGAACTAACTTAACATCATCATCATAAATATCATATTTACATACCTGGTCCATCATTGGCGTTCATATTAAAGAAGCGTTTCTTAAAAGCAACATCCAAAGTACCAATGTTTCTCTTCTTTTGCCTTGCCTTTTCCAAATTGTGTATGGTCTTTCTTCTTCCGACATTTTGTGGACCCGACCCAGAATCATTATCGTAGTCGTCGTCCAGGCCGTTTAGTTTTTGTAGATCTTTGACGATTGCTATAGCATTCTTATCTAACAATGCGTCTTGGGATAGATCTTCAGACTGTAAATTCATTTTGCATTATATTATATGTATAAAAACACAAAGTACCAAATGATATGAATGAATGTTGAATATTACCTTCTTTGTACAGAACCAATTTAGCTCTGTTGAAGCCAATATGTGTGAGAGAGTTCCAAATCTATGGAACAACATAGCACTAAACTGAATAAACAGAATTAATGCAAAGAAGAACACGAAGACTAAACCAATAGGTTCCAGTTGCAAGTACTCCTTTGAGATTAATACCTAGAAAACCCAAATTAATTTTAACATTGAATAAAAGATCAAACCAGGGTTAAAAAGCAATTTATATTAAGCGAATAGCCAATCCAAATCAAATGCAATTATTACAACTATAATTAACCATACTAGATGCAAACATACCACAAATCAAACGTCCAATTTACTTATCTCTAAAGTGCCTTATTAAAAACAAAAACATGTTTATTAGAAGAAATTGAAGAAGTTTACAGATAGTGTGTAATTATTTGAAACAAAATATTGTTAAACAAATCACCACAGGGGTGAGGGATTTATCATTCATATAGGGTACCATACACTTGTTAAAATAAACAAGAGGAATTAAATAGTTTCCACCACCATAGAAACAAGTGACAAACAGGTTGGGGAAGTGCAATTAATAAGGTTTCGTAACGTGGCCTCTTATTCAGTATCAGCTTGCAATTTCGATAGAGTGGATGCTAATCTAGACATTGGAACGTGGCAGGCCTTGGACTTGAGGGGTTGTGAGATAAATTAGGTGACACCAAGTTGTTTAATGTTCGGTGTAGAAGATAACTGGATCTTCATGCTGGTGTGCCATCCCGAAAAAGACCGGTTAGAAGAAGGTCGTTAGATTTGTGTAAACACACAAACTTTGAAAAATTTTGGCTGTACCTCGCCTGTATCCTCGATGTAGGTAATGTTTGTCTTTACTCCCAAAGGCCAAATCACGTGGAGTTGATCTTTGTTGAGTTGTAATAAGAATACTATCAATATAAATAAAGCATTGAACATGACAAACGCAAAAACTGATTTATTGCGAAGCTCTAATAAGTCACGTGCAATTCGAGCCTGTAAAATTACATAAAAAAAAGCATTAATGGGATCAACTTTCAATGTTGAGGGGGTGGTGACGTCGAAGCTGCTAATTGACTTCTAAAGGGCGTTATCTTCTCAGTCATGGTCCCCAGTCATCATTGAAGGCCGATCGCTGTACACGGCGTTCAATCACGTTACCTCTTGAGTGGCCTCATCATATGTAATATTAGTTTTAACTCCGAGGGGCCATTTAATGTGAATATTGTCCTTGTTTAATTGTAGCAAAAATACGATAAGGACAAAAAGAGCATTGACCATAAAGAAATTAAATACAGATGTGTCTCTCAACTCTTTCAGGTCCTTGGATATACGAGCCTAAAATTTTGGGAACAACATATATTTTAAAAGAGTCAGAGTTCGAATTGAGTTTTAGCTGAAAAAAGTTTACACAATATAACACCTGAGACTAAAATGCTCTCTTGATTTCTTCCTTTTCTTTCCTCTGTTTTTACCAGATCAATGAAACATAACAGATATTTTTTTCCTTAACGTTAATGTTACTCTTTTAAGCCGTAAATAATATAAATTTTACGACTACTTTTGTTATTCGTTTTAAATTCTTTATACCTGCTCCTCCTTGTTAGCATCGATGGGGTACAGATATTTATCAATAAGGTCCTTCCAGAATGAAAGCTCAGACTGGCTTAAAAAGTCAACTTCTCCCTTCTTTAGGTCTGGATCTTCTATCCAATATGGATTAATTAAGTCATCCCTTTTTTCCTGTAATAACAAATACACGATTTAGTACGTGTCATAAAACCGGATACGTACTATTTATTGAAATGAATTAAACATACTCTTGGAACTGTTGACATGGTATCAGTTTCCGAATCTGAATCATGTTCCTCCTCTTCTCTTTCTGATACAGTAACCAACCCATCACCATTAGTACTTCCTCTCAGACCGATGGAAAGTTTCCTGCTTCTTGTCTGACCATGTGGGTCGACAACCCTGAAATTTATACGAATTTATTTAAAATTCATTTTAGTTTTAATTATTCCATTAGATGGTTTATATAAATGTAACTAACCTTTCGACATTCTCTAGCTTCTTTTCTAGTTTTTCCAATGTAGACGCAATATGTAGAAGTTGAACCTTTTCTTCGTTGCCTTTAGGATGTGTGCAGAGCAAACATTTAAATAAACCGGCGAATGAAAACTCTATAGATCCTTCTTCCTCATTACTATTCACGCCTTGTAGGAATCCGAGTAATGACTTTTGTTTTGCTTTCTTCTTAGCTTCCTCTGCTTCTTTCTTTTCTTCCTCGATTTCCTAGATAATAACAGATGAATTGCATAATAACGTGAAAGTAAACTAAATTTGGCACCGATTGAACTTAAGTATTTTCATATATACCTTCTTAGTCTTCTTAGTTTGAACTTCTCGTGTACCCCACGTGACGTTGTTGAGATTTATAATAGAGTAAAGAATCAAAAGCAAGTACATAGACGGTATAGACAAAAGGTATATGATACCAGGTACGACACACCAAAACTCTTGCGGATGTAAGCAAGCAGCTATAAAGAAGGAGCCTGAAAGTGATATTAAGAAAATAGCTGATGGAGAGCCTATTCCGTCCTCTCCTAATTGGAGCGCCGTACCCACGATAACAGCCATCATAATCATGGCATACGCAGTGGATAAAATTTGTGCGACCAGCAACTGGAACGTAGCAAATACTTAATTATAAAAATATGTATACATTTCAATACATTATGTACATATTGAAGATTAATACGAAAATAAAGATTGTTATTATGTATAGAACTTTGTAATTTCATCTTCAAAGGGACATATTAATTACCTGAATTTCTGATTTCATCGTGAAGCAAACAAACATGAATAACAGAATGGGGTACAAGTTGTATTCGAAAGAAGTCCAATTGTCGATTCTAAAAGCAGCCACGAAGGCACCCACCAACATAAGGAATATAGTTCCGGGTCCGAGGATTGTACCACCCATCAACATCATCTGAAAATGAAAAGGAATTGTATTATTAAGGCCTTATTTTAAAATTAACGGTTTATTAAGGCCTAATTTGTATGAAATTTATTTTGAAATTCTCCATCACGCACTTGGTAAGCGATATAGGGCGATGAGATGTTGTCGTTGATTTTTATCGTATGTTTATAGTCCACAAGCAAGTCCATAATGTTAGCGATTGTAGAGGGTACCCATCGACGTCTTTGATTGTAAAATTCACTAAATCCTTCGGGACAATGTGTGTAAGCGTCAGATGCAGCCGAATACTCGACTCGGTAACCACGTTGCAGCAGGAGGGTACACAGCCAACGATCCTCCCCTATAAGAGGAGATATTAAAGATAAATTTACGAATTATAGGCATAGCAGTTGAAGGTTGTAAAATTAGTCAAAACAAACAATACACGCATGATAATGGTATACTTCAATTCTTAATTCCCTTAAATTTGCTTTCAATATTTTAAATAATTTAACAGTGCTTTGGAGTATATGAAGTTATCTATTTAGTTATTAAATATTAAACAAGTTTTTTCGGACACGTTACATTTTTATTGTCATATTAGATCAGAAGGATAAGGAATTAGAAATATAAATATAATAAAGACATATTTTTAGGAATTTAAGTAAAAAAACACTTAAAAAATAAATAAATAATAAATGCATTAAAAATCTATACCTTGATCGTATTGTACATAATGCCGAGCTTCATCTGACCGTAGTGTGTATTTTTTCATGACGTTGTCGTCCATCAAAGCCTTTCCTCTGAACAGCGAGAAGCATCCTGGACTACAAAGTACGCATCCAATCATGTGTTCGGTAGCCTTTTGCAGCCAATGACCAATAGCGTACTCGAATAACTGGTACCACACCATGGGACCTACAACAACAATTACATTGGTTTTTCATCTTAAAACAAAAACAATTATACATAAAATCAATAAAAAAAGTTGCAACATAAATTACAATATATAATAAATATATTCGTAATACAAAATAAAGTGAAGATATATTCACCCGATCCAACTGGATGAATTCGTCCACAGGCTGCTCCCAGGTTCTTGTTCTTCTTCATCAAATCGATAAGTAGACGCACGGCGTGAGGTTGGAAATCGATATCTCCATCCAAAGTTAACAAGTATGTGTTTTCAGCCATTACTTCTTTACGATCCACCGATATAGGCAACTCCATTAGCCGATGTCCCAAGAGATAGTACATGTACATAACCTTTAACGTTAAAGAGCCAATATATTTCTATATTTAATAAATTTACAATTGGTACTTTAAAAAAATCCAATTTAACAGAAGATTGTCCACCAATCGAGCTTCTAAGTCTTCTTGATTGGTAGAACCCGGTACTTCGTGTTATTTATGATACAGGAGGACAATAAGCATGGGATTCAATTTTTTGGTTCGTGACCGTGACGCAATTTCAATATACCTACCATAGACAACACACCAATTATAAATTGTTAAGAAACATGTTGAACTCGGCGGGAACAACGGATTGCAGCCACGATCCATTGATTAATCTAACTTATTTTCTTAACTAACTATACCTATTTCAGCAATAAACGAAAAAAAAATTTGTTTGTGGATTTCACTCTTTCCATTTTTTAAATCTACGTAGTTTTTAATACATTATGTAGTATAAAAATATATAAAGGTTTTAGATACAATGAGTTATTTAATTACTTATAATTAGTATTCCTATAAATATCACCTGTGACCAACGTTTCCTATGACGAATTTTCGACTTATCCTTCAAGTGGCAAATCATTTTAGTCTTTCCTGGCAGAACCCAAGTCAATCTTCCTCCATATGGGGCGGGTAATTTCTTCGGTGGTCGGACACGAATTATAGTCTGATGTACTTCAGAGGCAGCTTCATCGATTGTATCCACCAGCAATTTCACGAATCTATTCACTTGAGAATCTTCGTCGCTGTGGTCAGATATTTCAAATGCGTCGTCCAAATATACATGTGCTATAAACAATATTTTATGGGAATTAATTCACGTATATACATATTTCGTGTTTTAACACGTTTAAAGTGTTATTATTAAATTCTGGAATTTAAGAAGTCTTTTGAACCCTCACAAGAGTAACAAACATTTCGAAAAAAAAATCTACTCCCTTAATATCTAATCTAATCTGTCGCTATATTAAGCAATTTGGATTAGATCATAATTTCCATTAATTTAAGTTATAATTTAAAATTACTTGTTTCGGTAAGGGACGTTTAAAGTACAGAATATATATTCAAATATAACTTTATCGACAATACATATATATATATATATTTTATTAGCATTTTTAAACCTAAAGTTCGTTCTCAGAACTTACTCTCAAATTCATAGTAATCAGGATCTACAACTCTTAGATACTTCTGTGCAACTCGGCGGGCACACTGGTCTTCATCTAGCCGCAGAATAGATTTTAAAAACTCCATCATTTCATCTCTAGTTTCATGCCACATAGTAGCGCATGCGTAGATTCTGGTGATCGAGTCGGAGGATTTCACTGTCTTAGGCGAGGAACCGGTGTTGTCAGTATGGACAGATATCGTTTCGTAATATTCGTCACCTTTCTCTTTTTCTATCTCTGCTAGATCCTGTTGACACATAAGTAAATTTTATACTACACCAAATAAAATACCAATACTCTATTACTGAAAACAGGCTCGTCAACGATTCTTGAAGTTGATAAGTTACATACAATTCTAATAATAATGATAAATAGAATAAAAACAGTTTAGGACTTAGTAGGTAGAAAAATTAAAAGAAAATCTACAAATAATAATTTCTACTTAATTAGCAGTAATTAAAATTTTGGAATAATAGAATTACAATCAAAACCAGTGCAAAACGTAGTTACAAATACGAGCGAATAACTTTATTTCTTCAATATTTTGTTTAGGTTTTTTTTGTTTGAGGGTAGACTGAACATTTAAATTATTATTATTTCTATAGCAGAAATATAGTAGGTACCTCAGTTTTCACATCTTTATGGTCATCTCTTTTTCTGTTGAGTGCCATACTCTGGTCTATAAGTAAACCACTATACATCGGTAGTATGAATAATTTCTCAGTTGAGGCCAAACGTTCCGTCTTAGGCGTCCATATGTGTATAGTAATCCATGTTTGCGAGAGTAACCACAACAGCCACACCCATGCCATTTGACGAGATATAAAATCACTAAGACTAAACACTGGAACAAGAAGAAAAGAAGTTTATTATGAGGTGGTAGTCCCATATTTTTAAAAAGCTCCTAAGGTTTTCGAGCTGTTTGGTCCTAATTGAGAAATGGACCTCAATTCTTTTGTGCTTGAGGAACTAGTAACATCGTTTGATAATGTCGTCCCTCATGATGGCAAAACTTGGAACAGTACGATGGCTAAACAGCTTGGGAACCCAAGAAACTTTGTAAAATAACAAATAATACTATAAATTACTAATTACTAAAATACTATAAATAGATGACAGATTTACATAAAGCATATTTACCTGGAGGACTTTCGAAAAACAAGTAATCGGGTATTGTGCCATGAAAAATACATGTGTCTCCGTTTCTGAGACCGCACGCTGCTATCAAGAAATTCACTACCAGCGGTATAACCAAGTTTATCGGGAAAGCGTAACTGAATCCCTGAATGAGGATTTTGCAAGCGAACTTTCCAAAGATGTAAGTGAAGTAAGCTGCAAAGACTTGTATCAAAAGGACGTAAAATGCGGATTTGTGGACCGCAGCTACTTCTACTGAGTCTCCTGTGAGGGTCGCGTTAGCCAGATCAGGAATTATTGTACCGCCTAGCTGGATTTGGACCTGTAAATTTAATACTACATCTTACTATACTATTAAAAAAACTTGTAACGATTTAAATAAAACACTTTAACGGTTTAAACTTAACTTCGGCCGATGTTTCGGATGCTTTGTAGCAGCCGTGTCACGGGGAGACTCGGGCCGAAGTTAAAAATCATTTTTTAAATAAGTTTAACTAATATGGATCGCGCTTTAAACCGTTAAAGTGTTTTATTTAAATGTGTATCTACTCGCGTAAACTATAGACAGTATTTAACTTGTAACGAGTTGAAACGTAAAATATTTTATTTAATCATTATAATTTTATATAAAGATTTATGCTATATGGTTAAAAGTTCAGAGACTACAATTGATACTTTCTCTTCATTTTAGTCTTGATTATTTATTTTTACTGCAATCATTGTTATGTAAGCGAAGCAGTTATTTCGATATTTACCTCTTCGACTACAATGTTGTGTGGACCGAAGCCTTCTTTAAATAATTGGAAGAACATTGCTGGATCATCACCGTCCATCCAAATACACATCATAATGCACAACGTGAAAAGGATGATTTTCCAGACGGATATCAATCGGTAGATGTAGTAACGGGATTGGTTTAATTCTTCTTTCAGTCTGCCTAAACTTTTCATTATACCTGAAATTAAAACAAGAGAGCATTAAGGTATATCTTTGCTTTTCAAAAGGAAAATATTCTTCTTCTAGTTCACTTTAAATAAAACACTAACGGTTTAAAACGCGATATAAATATTAAATTTTCAAATAAATTTCACTAAAAATATATCGTGTTTTAAAACGTTAAAGTGTTTAAATAGTAGGTAATATTTTTATTTGAAAACCTTTATGTAAAACACACATCTAGTCATATAATAAAATTTTTGAAAAAAATATTTTGGTCACTACTTAAAAAAGAAATATGTTTAGATGCGACCCAAAATTTCATGTGTTTTCCAGCAGTCGTGACCAGGTTAATGTCAGGAATTTGTTAGTTAAAAAAATATCTCGTTTCAAGTAGTTTTAATTAGGTTTGTGCAAGGTTTTGTGACGATCAATTAGTAATTGTCTGTCTTACCAATCGGACTCTGTCGGGTCACGTAATTTTCCCACCATCCAAGAGATATACATAGAGCCGAGATTGGAATGAGCCATAGCACGGGTTTGTTCTCGAGAAGCGGCCACACAATGAAGCCAGTGACTTGCGCGACAATCGCTGCTATGTCGACGATAACTTTCACAAATCGTTTCGAGTCGCGAGAATTCCGGGAGAGAAGGCCGAGTATCGCTGGTACGATGCACAGGCAGTTTGTTATCATTGCACCCTTCACGACGTCCAGTTCCGGTAATATCTTGAAACATAATAGGGCCAGACCTATCGTGTGCAGTGACTCCGCTATGAAGACCTGGAATGTATAAATTCTACTTTCAGAAAGTGCTCATCTGAGTATAGCTTCTTATCAGAAAAATTAATCGGGGCATGGCACTTATTCATACTTATTTTTCACTTATATAGAGGTCGCTAGTGGCAGAGTAGCCTAACTGCAATTATATGACTTGAGTTATTTATATTTTCATGTTAATGTATAAGAGACACACACAGTGACCGAAAATGGTTAAACATCATTCTTACAGCAATAATACTTGCTACTTATGCATATGCATACATCGCCTTAGTAACCGGGCATTTTTATTTTCCTATTTATTGAAAATAATGTTTTTTGTTATTAGGTTACTCTGCCTCTAGCAGCCTTATATGTACAACGAAATAAAGAATTGAAAATAATAATAAGTGAAATCAATAATATTTACCACGATAAATTGTATACTCCTCGGTCGTTTCGACGATTTAAAGAAACATATTCGAAGTGAACGGATGAAGGCTCCAATCTCAGGTATAGCAAAAGCAGCCAAGATTACCCACATCCAAGCAACTCTTTCTTCATCCGGCAGACTGACGACGAATTGTTTATCTCTACCTGAAATACATTTTTGAATGAGTTTTTAATATTGAACACTTAATCCAAACAAAAAAATATCAATAAATTTTTAAAGAACATCAGAAAAAGGTACCCAACTAGTATACGTAGTTTTTAAGTAAGAATGCTTTGTCTTATGTACTTTATATTATTATCTTCATTCAAAATAACATTTTGATTTAGAAAAGAAGAAAGAATCTTTATTTATTGATTCAAAATTAGCGCGAAAACAAAAGATAGATTACGTGACACTCTGCATAATAATATGACGTATGAATATTGAACACAGAATAAATTATTATTAGAAAACATTTCATGCTTATAATAATTATTGTTTTTATTAAAAATACCATTTAAAATGTACATACTATATTTTAGCTTTTATAAACAAATAGCCAAATGTGGCCTACACTTGGCTGACTTCATAGTATTTATAATAATTGTGTCAGAAATGCAAGTAATATTAATCAGTAATAAGAGAGAAACTTACCTAAATTTCTATTACAATACGCTATCCTTCTATCTTTTCTTAATTGTGAAGTCATGAAAAGTAATGTGCCTTTTGCCACAACACCGGAACCGAGTACAACGATGAATGTTATAGCATATGCAAAAATTTTCAGAATCCTAACAGTGAACTCCAAACATTTTTGACTCTCCATAGACCCACTGTCCTGCTTCGGCGGGAATTCTCTGAAGACGTCCCATCCTTTCGTCTCTTGTACTGTTCTTTGGCTGGAAAATGAATTGTTATATAAGTATTATTCTACTATATATTTGGGCACTAAATGTTTCGGAAAAAGGAATTATACTTTTTTATATACATTTATAGTTGTATTTTGAATATTATGTTTAAGAAAACAAGAATTTGACAGTTTAAAACGCGATATGTATTAGTTAAACTTATTTGAAAATTATTTCAACTACGGCCCGACGTTTTGGATACTTTGCAGCAGCCGTGGTTACGGGGAGACTTTTATTTAAATGTGTACTATTCGTGTAAACTACACACAGCATATTATGATGTTTATGTTGCCTCCAAAGACAAAAAAACATAGAATCGATATACGAACATAGGTACTATGACTTCTATAAGTACACCTACGCCGTTCCAACTCAAGGAGATTATACCATTTTATTATAATACAACTTTCTCACGTGTCGTTGAAGGTGAAACATACTTCCTATTTACGGCTAACACGCTTTTCAATGGAATACACTTTTTGTTCTAGTTTAGGTGCGCAATGTTACAATGCGCACTGATTTCGTAAGGTAAGTTGTGACAGGAGGCTTACGTAAGTTATGGACCGTTAGGGTATCATAAATTGTACGTTGCGAATAATGCAAAGAACAATTCGCTGTGATACTATGCCTTGCTTGATATAGGATTGTCAGTTTGCCGTATTAGAATAGAGAGCTAATATTTATTTTTTAGGGATGAGCTATCTCATCTTACTAAATTAGACAAGGCATAGCCTCATTATACGATACTGGAAATATCCTAATTTTTTGTAACAATAACTCAAACAAGACACTTAAACCCACCACTAGATAAAAATAAAACAATTTTTAATTTAAAGCTTATTATACGTTGAAATTTAAACCTAAATTAAAATGTTCCAGTAACCAAACTGTTGGTAGGTATACGTACTCTGTTTCAAAAAAATATATATACATTTCATATTTTAGAAGAAAGCAGAACATATGGTATTTTAGTCTCAGTTTTAATACTGTGTTAACATTTTCAATATGACAAAGTTATCCTTATATTATTTCACATTAGACCACAGATCTATTATTGTAACAGATTAATATTTTCAAATAGTATGTGTACGTCACTACGTAAATATTTTGTAACCAGCCAGTGATGTGTCTTTCACTTATTAATTGCTTTAACTATAAATCGTGGTAAATATGGTGTTAGAAAGTTTGCGTTAACAAGTAGGCTACTTAAAACCTTCACTACATATTTTTTTGCATCTTAATTTTAATTACTGATTATTGAATTATATGAACTATTATTTATCATCGATTTAGTGCAATTTGATTTGATAAAATTTTACTCCTGTCTAGATTAATAGGATTTTTACAGACTTTAAAAGTCAACATACCTGTAAATGCTACAATAGTTGCTGTAAATTGAGTTATTATTATTTGCAATATAAACGGGCTCTTCTAAATCCTGTCTCTCATAGTAAATTTTACAATCGTGTTCACTCATCTTTCTTTCGTTCACATTACGAGTCAGTTTTGCACAACACTGTCACTTAGAATGCAGCTATAAGATATTGGACTTTCGAAATTAAAAATAATAACTCATTGTTAGTATGAGGACGGCAAACGGTTTGATTGGCATAGAACTACTGGTCGCGATGCGCGGACGCAACGCGAAATAGCCCGACGTTGTCGTAGCGGACAAATCTTGAATATTAATTTGTTATGAGAAGCAATTTCAAATATTAATTTACTTCCATTATGTTTTATAGGGAAATCTTAACGGTTAATACCGTTATCAAAACCTATCAAAAAGTAATACCTATCATACGTTTTCGTATTGTATATAACAAACATCGGCTACATATTTTTATTGAAAGAACTGAAGGGTTTTACATAAGTCCGACTGTTTGAAGATATAATAAAAAGCCTAAAATAACTGTTATTAACAAAATCAACAAAACGGTCTTGTAACGACTAAAAACAAAGATTATAACAATAATAGTTTGTCTCGTTCGAGTAAGAAGCACAGCAATTTCTACGTTCTGCGGCAGTGGGCACGTGAAATTATATCGTACTACTTTTAATACGGACGCAAGTCACAAATTACCAAGTATAATGAAAGTACAGTTTGTATCTACTTCTACGATGTTATGAAGGAATTAAGTTAACGAGTTTTATAAATCTATTAATATTAAATGGCAAGGTATTTTATATTCAAGTATCTTATTTTTTAAATAGCTTTCACTTACAAGTGCGCGTTTAGAGAAGAGTAAACACACATTTGACGGGCACGTTGACCCTGTAGTAGGAATCTATCGCGAACAATGCATTCCGTTTCATTCTCACCATGTTTGAAATACGATTTTAGCACTTTCATTAGTTACTAGCTGTGTCAGTGACTTGTTTCGCACATGATAAATATTTTGGACATCTAAATCTGTATTTGCAAACTTCCTCTTCTTTATAGTTATTTAAGCTGTTGCCCACAACGTCGATCGCGTTCGTGGTTCTTGCAAGTTAATCTTAAAAGGTAGACATATAGCGTCGTGGACATTTTTTTGGATCACAAGTTGAAAAATTTTTTCGTACATATTTCTGGGTATCTTGAACCGTTGTCGCAGCGTACGCATCGGATACCCACAATGAAGAATAATTTTCTCATTTTTTTTACATTCTCCGCCCTTTCTTCGCCCCTATTAATCACAACACAATAATTTATAGCCTCGGTAAATGGACTAAAAAAATGAAATATTTTTTTTAATTCGAACCAGTAGTTCCTGAGCTTAGAGATTTCAAACAAACTAACAAACTCCTCAGCTTTATATATTAGTATGTAAGGCTGAGGCATTTTACCCTTTATCAAGTGATCTCCCTTCTTATCTTCCCTTTTTTGTCATAAAAAAAAAGAATTCATCGCATTTACAAAATAGATTTGGTCACAGCACTTGGCCTAGATTACAAGAAGACATCGAAAATTAGAATATCAAATGCAATTCGCAATTTTAATAGTGAGCATTCCTAAACTTTTTCATGTAGCACATAAAAGCAGTTTGACCTTTAACATTCACGATCTAGACTCGATCAGGTATTGTATTGTATTTCTGCAACACACGAAGCGAATGCCTTCAAGAACAAAGTTTGCTCAATGTCATTTTATACGAAACAACCTAACCACAAGCTAAATGGTCCTTTGTATTGATATAAAAAAAACATTAAAAGATAGTAATTTTATCATCTTAATAGTTTCCCTCTAAAAAAGGTTGTGTTACGTTGAAAGATAGTAATGTTTTTTACAAAAATGCGTTAATATGTCACAAAATAAAAAGTAAATGAAACGTTCCAACAGCATTCTAAATCTGTCTGACAATTAAATTAAGCTCCTTCCAGAAAAAAACTATGATATAGTAGAAAAATATAGCATAAAGCACAACTATATCGCGCATCGTACATTATGAGATTATGGTCAAAATAATAACAAATTTACGCGTTATGCTCATATATTATATCTCATAAAGTATTTGCGGATCCCTTTTTGGCTTTTCCGGCGCGCCAGCCTCCCGTTTCCAAGAAATAAAAAAAGTTTTTCCATTCGAACCTATAGTTCCTGAGATTAGCGCGTTTAAACTAACAAAGCTTTATTATTTTAGTATAGATAGGAGCATAAATTATTCAAAAACATGTGGTGCTAGACGAAACCCGTTGTAATTAAATATTCTTAACACGATCGACCCCAGCACAGCGGCCTACTTTTTTGCTTTTAAAGTTATATGTAGCGAAGCTAAGTGTGAGGAATTATGAGGAAATAAATGTTGTAGGTATTATGAAACTATTAGTGACTAATTCATCATGCATGTTTATCTTAGAAAGGATATTAAGTGTAGCAGAGGTGAATATGACGTATGCGTTTTTTAAGCTAATATAAACAAAATCTAACTAAAATTCTCCTCCTATAGCCATCGAAGTTTAATGCATTGCGTCAAGCGCAAGAGGTCCTGATTTCGAACTGCGAAGAACTACATTGTAAAATACAAGTTTCTACTATGAATGAGAACTAGTAGATGAGTAAAGTTGCATCCTGTGGACTTTTGAGTGCCTTAAATACTTAGTAGGTATAAATAAGTAAACTCTATTTGATGTTTGAATATACAGCAATTTATATACGTATAATTCTTTCCTTGTTTACATAAAAAAATAGATACATAACTAGTGTTTCACTAAGATGGTCGTGTTACTTGACTACTTGGCAAAGGAAATAAGTGGGGCGCAAAAATGTAGCGCACTCGATCGATCGAAAGTTGTGTCGTCAGAGTTGACAGCCTTGGCATTTGAGCGGGTTCCGGGCCAGCTGAGCTCGACTGACCATTCGCTACTCCTAATCTTTATATTATTTGTGCAAAATATGTAAGATTCAGAGCCTCTAAATACCCTTGCAGGTACGATATTTTTGTACTATTTATTAAATAAGAAAATTTCATACTATCTGCAGTTTACGCGAGTAGTACACATAAAAAAGAACACTTAAACGGTTTTAAACGCCAAATATATTAGTTAAAACTGTTTAAAAAATATTTTTAACTACGGCCCGATGTTTCAGATGCTTTGCAGGGATATAAACAAGATCAATATACTAATCAATAGTTTTGATTTCAAAAGTATTGGTATAAGTTTTAAGGATTTTTGTTTTCGCTAAGAACTCGCATGAGAACACAATAAGCATACAAAAACCAAGCTCTTTGGACGGTGCATTTAGATAAGTCATTGGTATTAAGTTATTTTAAAGGAGTATAAGAGACGCAAACAAAGGAATATATATCAACGACGAAATTTACCCGTTATTGTCTTGATATGTTCATAAAAATATATTTCACCCAACAAAAGTCGAGAAATGTCGAAACTTTTAATTGTTAGTGATGCAGTCCATCATTGTAGAAAACGAAGAATTTCTTAGCAAATTCCATTTGTCTGTTGTCATTATTGTGTGTGAATGAGATGATATCATATTATGTTGTAAAATTTAAACGTTATATTTGAAACAAGCGGAAACTCCATTTTTTTTGATGAATCACCAACTTTAAGATTGTCTGCATCGTATACATTTTTTTTTATTTTTTTTTTGTTGTGCAAACTTTTTTGGATATATGACAAAGCTGGAGCCACTTAGTAGCTATTGAGTATTATGAAGCAATAAGACATCGTTCCTTAAAATTTCAAATACCATTGATTTTTACCTACTTAGACCCAAGGATATAGAATAGAGTGGATATTGATTTTTTTTATATTAAATACTTTCTATAGTTTACGCGACTAGTGCACATTGAAATAAAACTCCTTTCAGTTTAAAACGCGATTTATATTAGTTAAACTTTTAAAAAAAATTATAACTACCTGACGTTTTAAATGCTTTGCAGCACGACCAGTATAAATATCTCAAAACTAGTTTTATAATAAAAATCATTATAAATTGATTGTACATGTAGAAAGCATTAGTAAAAAGGTGCATAATAGGTGAAAATATTCTCAAGAGAAACCGCTAATTGACATACCTGCCCCCGTAAGTGTCATTAGCTAATGGTAGTAGTTCGTCGTCAGAGTTGTCGCTGTGTTCCTCCCGTCGAGATTTCCCTCCGGAGGTCGCCATCGTTTAGTAGTTCTGAAAGAAAAACACAAAGCAGTTTAAGTTTGCACAATGGCTCCCTTAACTTTATTTGTTGTATTTTGCAAACGTAGTCGTTATTTAGTATAAAAATCTAAACTGATCAATAAATGACCAAATTCTCAAGTAATCAATGAACAAACTATGTTGTTTTATTGTGACAAAGAATTGATTAAAATAATTATATAGTATAAAATATTATTATTACAAGACTAAAAAAATACAATATGTATTTTTTTTATCTTAAAAACAGGAATGCCATAAAATAACAATAAATTATAACATTTTTTTAAATTATAACATCTTAAGTCTTGGTAAAGCACCTAGAAAACTAAGTAACTTCTGATTTGACTAACAAAATTGGGAGACAAACGCTTTACCGACTTACCAGGCGAGTTTGACCGGTTTGCCAATGAAGGTGAATCTTTATTTTTTGCTGATTATCTGTTTATATTTTTATGTATTTAGCATTAATTTGCTATATTTGATGCAGATCTAAAGAAGGTTACCAGAAATCAGCCAGCACTTTTCATTACAAAATAATAATATTAAGATTAAGTTGTATATGCTAGTGGCTTTACCGAAAAGCAATTTTACGAATGCGATAAAATTCTATTATAGGCATTATAACTATATCCTTAAATAATGATTTGCTTATATCCGAAGGCAACTGTGAATCATGTCCCACTCAAACGCATACCTTGTAGGTCAACAGTCCCTTGCAAATAAGATACGATTAACAAATCTTTTATTCACAGTAAAACAGTCAATTTTCCCTGTTTGGGGCAAGGGGCATATCGCTTATACACATGGTCAAGACCTGGCATTTAAAGTTTAAATATCCATAAGCGCCTACATCAGTTTATTGTTCTTAAATGTAGTTGGATCTACGCCGTCGACAAGGTCAGCGACTTCCGCGCCCAATGCACAAAGAACCTATTCAAGGATGGTTTTGATCCATTTTATTGACATAAAGATTTCTTCTCTTTACCCCACCTCTATAGCTATATGATTCAAGTATAATGAGGCATTTTAGTTGCATATATAGTTGGCCTATTCATGTAAACTCCATATAGTGTTTTCAAGATTATTTTGTTTAGAGAAAAAAAAATGTGTAAGAAAAAGTTATTTCTAATTTATTCAAGTTAGTTATGATTATTGGTTCTTATAAAGTTAGTAGAATTATTGTACGCTATTTGTGATTTGCTTTACTTTTTAATTGATAACTTTTCGTGGGAAAGGATCCACCTCGTAACGTAACGTGTTACGGTGCAAATTTGCTTCTGATAGCAATACCTATTACCACCTAATGTCGCACTTGTATTTTTTACCTATATTATGTATATCCCACAATAATACATCTAAGTGATAAAGACAGTATTTTCCTTACTAACTACTTTTAGATCTTGTTTTTGTAATTATTGGGCGTGGTTGTTTTATGTATGGATACGAACAACCAAAGTCGCTTAATCGAGTGACGTTTTATATAGTAGTATTAGGCAATCAGTTCAAACATTATACTTGATATTATTTTTAACTCGTGCATAAATGTGTTTCTCAGCTAACTCCGTGAACAAGCAGGTTGCTTACCGCTTGCTTACTTTCACTATTGACGGCCAGTGCCCCCCACCCCCGTAGACTCATGAGTCATGACGCAACACCGCTTCACATTCTTCTTATTCTTAAGTAATCGTATTACAGCTCAATTTTTCATAATTTACTAATTACTCGACTATGTAGATAGAAAGGATAGAAAGAAGTGGAATAGGCCGATCGGCATCTGATTTAGGGAAACTTAGCAAGACACAAGTTTTGATGTAATAAAAGTACGTATGCTTGTAGAAAAACTTGTCACTAATGTTCTTTATACAAATGTGATGTTAGACGTGGTTTTAGTTCTTTTTATCTTTATTTTACTTTAAACACGAAATTAGCATATTCTTTTTAATTGTCTTTCTATTTAGTTTATAGAATCTGTTATTAATTTAAGATAGTCTTGCGTCTCAGATTATTCTACTTAATAAAAAGCGACAGCATTGGGAAACAGACGCCTATGTGAGGCAAATACAGTATTATGTCCCTTTTACTGATCCATACTATTTTCGTCTGTGCATACTCGACCGAGGCACTATATCATCATGTTTACAGGTAGGTTAAGACTACGTTCTTTATATCTCCAATCGCAAGAGCATTGTGTAGCCACGAATTCATTCAATATCTTAAAAGTCAGATGATTCGTCGAAGTTGTGTAATGTAACTTTTATCTGGAATAGTATGACAGCACCTAAATTGTCATTTTTTTTTTCTGCAAATATCAAGAGAAACTCAGTTATGTTAGGAAAATTTTTCAAAGTTATAGGATAAAATATATCGTTCCAAATTGACGTTTATGCTTAGATTGGAAAATGGGACTAATTTGTTCCAAAGACATTTCATTTAGCATACTTATCTATGTGTTGCCTTTTTATACTACAAATATTGAATATAGGAATACCGAGGGAAAAATACTCAGCAATCGGTTTAGTAAATACAAACATACAAATGTGTAATCATATACCGATAATTTCTTGATACACACAGTAGCCTCCACATGGTTGAATGCTTCTCAAGGTATGACCTAAAAGACATTGCGTGACAGCTTATATTGCGGATCCATATTAAATTTAAAATAACGGTATATTAACTGTATGTTTACCGCCACAGCTCAATGATTAAAGCATTGTTTTGTGCGGTTCAAAGAAAAATTTAGTTGCCTAAATTTGTGCCTTACTAACTGGTAAGGTACAGGTCCATCCAACTTGCCATGTGAAACGAACACAAAATGTATCTGCCCAAGCCCTATGTATGGGGAGAAGTTCTAGTAAATCACAAGGTATATCATCTCGACATTTCTGTATAAGTAATATCACTTTAAGTTACAGTAGAGAATTAATAAAATATTTTAACGGTTTAAAACACGAAATATATATATATATATATAAATTAGTCACTTATTTCTCTTTGTGTTTTATTTGAATGTATTCTAGTAGAATTTCATATTGATCACTGTTGAAACATAATAGTTTAAAAATTACCATACATAATTAGAAAGTACACCGGCAAACGATATGAAAGTATTGATTAATAATACTAACATGTAGCAATTTGAGCTACTTTTATTTTAATATATTTTCATAAAAAATGTTTAAACGTTATAAGGCATATGGTTCGACACGAAGTGGCGCGTTGAAGTCTTTTGTATAAGACCAATACTAATCACTTTTTCTCGCTAAATTGCTCATGTCAAAATAAATTCATATGTTTCGCACGAGAAATGGAAATTTTAATTTAAAATATTCAGCATAGACATTAAGGAGTAACTAATTTCAGGTAATTGGATAAATGTTACTGTTGGCTACACGCGAACCTGCAATATCCTGGCCGTTTTCGCATGTTTTATATCGTTACATCGTTTCGAAATAACTTAATTGAAACATTTCATATCATGATTTATTTGTTATTTCATATATTGTATGACTATTGCTGACAGTATTAAATTTAGTTATGACTACATTTTAATGTAAAACCCATTCAATTTTATATTTTATAACTTAATTCGTCAGTCTTTTAACAATTCCCACAACTCAGACTCGGGCATACAATGAGGATGTATATACCTGTATCATTTACATATATTTATCTAAGACGTTGTGTGTGGGTTAATAACGTCTGCAGTATGATGCAGATGTTATTGCCTACGTAGTACGTAGTAGAATTATTTATTTAATGGAATAAATCCATTTCAATTGTAACATTCCTTCTGTTTTATCATTAACGTCTTTAACATAAATTCAAACTTAATTTGTTCTTGAACTTTAAGTCACTAGTGATAATAATTTACTAAAACGATCTGTTTTATTAATGTGATTCCAGTAATATATACATTTACATATATAACTGATTATGAATGTGTTAGAAGGCAAATTATTTTTACCTATATTGTACTTTACTCGATAACCATACATTCTGTTTAAAGACTATTCCTGTTTTAAATCAAAATTTTCACACTTTAACAAAAAAAATGTCATCCTCAAATGAGGACAGACAAGTATGGGGTATTCACTTGAAGTTTAAAAAGCCATATAACATCTAAATAAGATATGCTCTCGACTTATTTTAGCTTTGGATGTTCGAAAATCCACAGACTGAAAACAAAACCTGATCAAAGTTTTTTTCATCTGTGGACGGTGGTAGGTACGTGACTCGGACCCAGCCATTTTATTTCCAGTTTTTAGTTAAATATATTGATTAGAAACATGTTGTACCTGGTGGGGTTCGAACCCTCGTCCATTGGAATATTAGCCAAACATTAGGCCCGTCATAACTTAAGTATTAGAGTATTAATCATGAATTATGGAAACACATTACGTCTAATGCCAAAGTAGTAATTAAATGTTAATTTGTTCTTGAACCATTTGGTAACAGTCTTAAAGGCAACTGCGCAACACATTGTTTTTATTAATTACGTAATTTTTATTACCACGGAAATACGAAATTGTTTTAAGTAAGAACGACCCTCTGTTGGAACCGGATGTACGCGAGGTCTTAGGGTTGCTTGCCGCCTAGTGCGAATGTATTCAATCTTTAGAGATAGTAACGTAAATTGGTAGATTGTTCAAAAGACATTAAAAAGAAATTTTAGTCCATTGATAAATTCTCATTTACTTTCCCATTAATACAAAGATAACAGAAATTCAATTATTGATAACCTACCTCCCTTCTCTTTATTTTATTATGATACTTTAAGTTCTTACCAATATTACTAAATCTTTATGAATAACGAATAAGTCTAGACCCTACAAGGATTTGGTTCTTATAGCATTTTAATAATCTACATTCACTTTTGTTTGACATTGTATGATCGACAAATCAACTTGTTATTTTAACTTATGTTCAAGACCTTAGGATTATATTTTAAGTGCCCATATCATATTTGATATAAAATGCAAAATTAGGACACCGCAATGCGCATAATTAAAACTTTAATGCTATTATTAGATGTTCAAACCACTTCGTCGAAATTCTCACGACTTTATTTACCTAGTCACAGCTTCGCGCTTTCGAAATTGAAACTATAATATGACAAAGATTCTTCTTTCTCTTTAGAATTCAAGGAATGTATTATGCATAATGACTTTCGCAGCTGATGTCTTAGCCTCGAAAAAGGTTATGTTTGGGGACTTAATGGACGTCTTAAGTTAACGTTAAATGCTAGAAAATATTCTTACCGTTTCGATGCTAGAAAGAGAAATCCGTAAAGTGTGTCACTGAATGTTTGTGAGGTTCACTCGCGTTTGAAGGGGCATGGTGCGCGCGAGTGTATAGTCGGGTCGCCGCGCGCTCACTGGCCGCGCGGAGTTCACGTAGGCCGACCTCTCACTCAGCGAACTTTACTGAGTCACAAGTATTTTTCCCAATAGTAGCCTTTAGATACGATAATAAAAAAATCTCCTTTTTTTGCATATTATTGATTCATAGGTATATTTTATAAATGAAACATTTGAATGCTCTTAACAATTTAAAACGTGAAATGTATTAGTTAAACTTATTTACAATGTTTTAACTACGGCCCTACTTTTCGATTGCTTTGTGGGGGGGGGGGGAGCTTGGGGAGATACTAGTATTAATATATGTACTACTCGCGTAAACTACAGGTAGTGTATTATTCATAATAAATAAATGATTATTGTTTACGCCGCCAGGACAAAAACCTACAGGAGGATTTTTTTACTATTGATTGAAGCTCAGTAAGAGCTTACTACAACAAACAACCACGCATAAATATAATCAACTATAAAGAAGGAGAATAATAATACAATTAAAACATAATTAGCAATATGTCAATAGATAACTTTTTGCTACTGCTAGTTGGTTATTGAAATCTGATAGAAAACCTTCTTAGTTAAATAAAACTTCATGTGACTTAACTAATAAAATTGACTATAAGTAACAAGTAACTGAACAAAAGAAAACTAAATATAATGTATGAAAAATTTATTACCACAGGATTAGAATATGTACTTATATATTACATGTAGCTTTCTCGGTCCCTGAATCGGACGGTGCTACGGCGCGGTGGTGGAGTTGCTTCCTCGTCACTGTCTAGAGCGGGTTCGTAACCCTTGTTCATGAATGCCATACTAGATCTGCCTGCGCCCACTGCGTTTAACTACAGAAACATAATGAAACGAGTGTTTTATAAATTTCACTTCATGTAGTTTTTACATGATTTATATGCACAGATACATCTAATGTCTTATCTGGGTCAGGTGTAAAATGTGTTAGCAATTGCGTTATGCAAGAGGTCCTGGACTTGACTTACAAAGAGATATTTTGTTGTGTTGTGTTTCGGTCGAAAGTCTGATCTTGTCATTGAGAAAAACAATGCAAAGTTAAACACAGAAATCTTATTAAATACTGTCTACAGTTTACGCGAGTAGTAGACATTAAAATATAACACTTTAACTAAACTTTGTTATGAGATATACTAGTTTGTTTGTTAAGTTTAACTAATATATCGCGTTTTAAACCGTTAAAGTGTTTTATTTAGAAATGTTATTGCTTACGGGATTATACTGTTACTGAGAGGATGTGTTACTTTTTTGTAACATAGAATGAATTATGCATTTGAAATGTCGACGGGCTCGTTGGTGTAATAGTGACAATGGCTAAGTAATCAACGGGTTGCAGGTTCGAACAGATTTCCAGACCAAGTGAACTTCGTATATTAAATAGGTGGTAAACATATTGAAATTCCGTCCGGGGCACGAACCACTATGCATAGATGAAAAAGCCCTGAAGCTTAACAGTGCAATAGATGTTATATGTCTGTGGTATTTCAACTACCATCAAGTGAATCTGTCCTCCTCTATCATAAAAAAAACATAAGTTAATCAGTCGATCGACTAAAGATAATGTACATATATGCTTATTTCGTTTTAGTTAAATGTTATCTACTCTAGCGTGTTTACTGTAAGCCCTGTAAGTAAATATTGTAATAATGTTAAAACTCACGTCGACCAAAGGTTCATCATATAGATATTCGGCAGTCGAGTCCGTTTGAATTTGAGAACGTCGTTTCTCGGCGATGACGGAATCGCGTCGTGTCATCAAAGCGCGAAGTGTAGCTCGTCGTGTCGCTGCGTCTCCACCCAAAGATGGCAACCGTTTTAATGCAGCTGATAGAAATAAAACATTAAGTAAAGTTAGTTCGTAGAATCTGATGACACAGACGGGTTTCGAACCGCCATCAACAGCGCTTCGTGCTGCTTCTCTTCCCAATTGAGCTACACAGATATCATCATCGAATTTTATCAACTCATCGTAACATCTCTCGCGCAAATCATTTCAATCTGTATCAAGGTTTGATGCCTTGTGCTTTTTAACTTAAGAAATTATTTCTATTGAACATACAGAGGTTAACGTTTGAAAACGTTATTTCAAGTGCGCATGATGACGTTTCTACTAAGAAAATAATTAGAGGGAAAAAATTTCGTTATATGTATAGTCTTTTGTTTTGAAGGGCAATCTAAATTAAAGTGATATAATTGTTGTTACTTACCACTATCGTTATTTTGTAGTATAGTAAGACGCCTTTTAAAGTTAGCGTCCAGGTTGACAACACTGTGCTTAGTGTCGCGAGCTCTTTCTAAATTATGCAGAGTCTTCCTTCGGGATACGGTTGATTCATCTACTCCCCGCTTCTCCAGGTCATCCACGTTTAACTTTTGCAGGTCCTTAGCGATCTCTACGGCGCGCTTCTCAAACAACTTTTCGCTTGACATCTCATTTTGCTGAAATATTATATTATTTATGAATTACAATATATATAATGTTATTCTTCAGAAGTTTTTAGTTTATAATACTAATTTAAAAGCTTTTATAAGCTTTTTGAGAACGGCCATTCTAAAAACAAAATTTTTAATCTTTTAAATTCTATTTGTCAGTCTATGAAATTTCACTGTAAGAAACAGATTAAAAGTTTGCCATCTTTAGTAGTAACAACCTACGATACGTATTAGTATTAAGTAATATTTATTATTAGACAAATTTTTATTCAGTGGGATAGTTTATCTAAATATGCTTGTTCTTAAGCTTGATCTTTTAACAAATTTTAAAAGCAATAGTTTAAAATATGACTTTGGAAAGCCAAGATTTAAAGTCAACCTTTTTAGTAAAGTTCCAGTTGAGCTGCGTTGTTGAAAGAAGATGCATAAGAGTACCCATCCGGTGGAACAGCATTCCAATAAATTGGATAATCATGACGAGTCCGAAAAAGATGATGAACACAGACCCGATCGGTTCCAACATCAAGAATTCGCGTTCAATTTCCACCTGTTGTATACAAATAATAATCGGTCAATTAATTAGAAATAAGCTCTTGATGATATTAGAATAATTAGGGTTGTCCAGAGATACCTATGCCTTTTCATTTGAATAGGTCCCTATAATAATTACTTAATGTACTATTGAATTGTAGTATTTGTTATTTAGCAAGCGTACGATATAATCGGACTTTTCGACTTAAATTATTAAACTGCGAGTCACAGACATCATTTGTCCTCAAACTATATACACAATAAATAAAAAAACAGAGAATTAGTATATAACAGTAATAAGTATCCGATTTCTCTAGGTGAGGCAGACAGACAGATCTGACTTACTAGATTTCGGTTCCTATTATAAGCGATAGCGATCTTTTGACCGAATGGCCATTTGATGTGCAGTTGATCCTGATTCGACTGAAGAATGAAGATCACCACCACAAAAAGAGCGTTAAGCATCAAAAACGCAAACACCATGTTGTCGCGTAAGTTTTTAAGATCTGTCTTTATTCTTTCCTGAAATATAAAGCCAGAGTTATTCGTAGTAGGTATACCTATAAGTGCAATTGATTTATTAAATTTGACATTATTTTTATTTTATTTATATCTCGTTTATTAAACTTGGTCCTTTAGTTGCAAAATCCTTATCTAAACAAATACAAAAATAAAACAAATTTAACGGTTTAAAACGCGAAATAATGCGGGGTTATTTTTTATTATACCTGCTCTTCCTTATTTTCGTCGATAGGCCGCAAGTACGCGTCAATTAGATCCTTCCAAAATTCAGTCTCAGCTGTTGTCAAGAAGTCCACCTCCCCTTTTTGGAGATTTGGATCTTCTATCCAGAATGGGTTAATTAAGTCGTCTCGTTCTTCCTAAAATTAAATATGAAAGTTTCCACACTATGTTTATGGTTAGTTTATTTATCTTATGTTAATCCCTCGCTAAGTGTTTACCAAACAGTCAACCAAATTCAGTATAGAACTTGGGCTTTTAGACTAAAAAAATCTAAAAATTGATATAAATATATATTGATATAATTGATATACGTCCGTATTTACATAAAGTTCGCCTGGTCAAAAAAAAAAGAAATTTCTCAGGGCATTACCAGATAGGGAAAGTTTGTCTAAATCTATCATATTTAAGGTCATGGTAAAATCATTTATATAATTACTCACCCTCGGTATTTCAACGGAGACCTCGCTATCTTCGTATTCAGGCAGCATAGAAAGAGTATCATTTCGTATACCCATTGAAGAGCGGCGACGGTTACGGCTTTCTGGCAGTTCAGTAGGTGCGCCTCTGTAAAATTGGTTTGGCATATTAATTATTTCTGGGGAATATCTAATGTATCTGGTATATGAATGAAAGGGGCATGGGCGCTATAAATAAATAAAAAAATTATATTTATCATAATTTATTTACACCGGTAGACGACTTGGGAGGGGGTGCTTTTTACCATTACCTAGTGATAGTTGATCAGTTATCAAGCTATATTATAAAAAAAAATGTTTGAGATAGACAACCCTTATTAGTTAGGGGTGTTAAAAATTGAAATATCGACTCTCTTACCTACTGAATATGTATAAAGCATTTCATGAAATTCGATTGAGCCGTTCGAAAGAGTAAGGCAACTTAAACTGTGATGCGTATTTATGTATTCTATTAATGAAGAAATTAACATAGATTTTTGAATAGTTAACGCTGCCTTATTAAAAAATATTACGATATTCAGAATCACACTTACAGAGAGTCCAATCTCTTTTCCATCTTCTCCAAAGCGTTGGAGATCTTTAGCAAGTGCAGATCCTCCTTATGATCTTTTGGATTCGTGCAGCAAAGACAACGGAATAACCCCGATATACTGAACTCCACAGACCCGCTCTGCTCTTCAGATTTACCGAACCAGCTCATTATACTTTGGTTTTCCATTTTGGTTTTAGCCGCCTCTGCTGCTTTCTTTTCTAACTCCATATCCTTTAATATAAAATATGTTTTACCAGTCAAACTATAGACATTGTATTAATCATTGAATTAATTTGAAAGCTCGAGTTCGTTATATTGTGAGTGCGATTCACAATATAACGAACGCATTGTCGATATGTGTTATCCATGCTAGATAGTTTACACACACACATACATCTTACGATATAATCTCATAGTATGTGTTTTGAAGTGGTTATTTGTTTTATGTAGGCTATAACAGTACTCAGACTTATGCATAAATTAATGATTTTAGCGATGTGTGTAATCCCGTTTCCCCGGTTTTGTAATCAGACTGTTCCCTGCGCGACCGAATCAATTTATTGTTTCCCCCGGATTCGAACCCAAAACCTTTCGTGTTTAACGCAATGTTAAGTTATATAGGCGGTCAATTTCAAACAAATCTAGCAATAAAAGTAGAATATTAAGAAACGTAAGTATTTTAATTCCAATAATGAAGATATTTAATAATCTTCAACGTACCTTCAAAGTCTTCTTAACGGCTACTTCTCTGGTCCCCCACGATACGTTATTTAAGTTGCAAAGCGAATAAATAATCAGCAACATGTACATACTTGGGATAGTTATGTAATAGATCCCGAGGTAGAGCAAACATGATATTTCTTGTGGATGCAAAGCACCAGTTACAAAGAAAAGACCAAATGTAGCCACGAAGAAAAGACTGGTCGGTGCCAGCCAACCGTCTTCCACGATTTGTAACGCAATTCCGACTATTACAAACATCATTATCATTGCGTATAGGCATGTTATAATGTTTGCGAATTTCAACTAAAAAAATATAGTAAATTAATATTCATGCACTGATGCTAAAATAAGAACTGCGGTCTTTACAGCCTAAAACGCTATATAATCTTCAAGATTAAACGAAGAATTACTCTCTGAAAATGTTTGATTTTTACTTAAGATACTTTCCACAGGGAGATATCGAAATTATTCTATTCTATTAAAAATCTCTATTGTTTGTAATGTTTGTTTCCCTTAAGTTTTTAATCGTGGCAAAGGACATAATGACAAAGACAAAAATTTATAACTCTATCCATGTTTCTTTATTTTGTCGAGTCCTAAAACTTAGTATTTAGGTATATGATCTAATAGTCAGATGGTAGAAAGAGACCCAATTTCAAGAAGAAATAATGTCGTAATTGTTAACGTCAGTCACAAACCACCATCCAGAAGAGTATCTTATGTTATAGTCAGTATGTTTATTTACCATCAAGAAACCCCCACGCCTATCTATTATAAGAATTTAAATATAATGCTAATAATGGAATTAGTTACTAAAACTTTACTTAATAAATTTTCCCGCTTAAGTCATTGTTATTTAAAATATTAAATGGTTCTAAGACTGCTGTCTAACAGACGAACAGTAGGATTTTGCTGAAAATCACTGTTGTAACAGAACTGTGCTGCCACTTATGCTAACGAAAGACCCTTTTGGTATCACTTTTCTTTAAATTTAATCTTTTTGTATTAATTATTTTATTGTAATTACATTTATCTTTTAAAAATTGTACTAAAATAATGCCACGAAAAGAGATTTATTATTATTAACGTTACTCAGAAGTAATCTTACCTGTATATCCGATTTGCAAGTCATACACACTATAATGAACGTCAACACAGGCACCGCATTTAGTATCAACGCATTCATATTACTCATGCCAGTTATAGCATTGATTGCTCCGATCATCATAAGGAATATGGTGCCAGGACCCAATACAGTACCGAACATTAACATGATCTGGAAGCAGATAATTTTATTTTATATATATACCGTCAATTCCATAAGTAATTAGCTTTCATATCGCTTAAGATGCATATTACAAATGTATACATTATGATATTCTTTGTCTATATTTGTTACTTATTGACTTAGTTAGAAAACGTGATATGTAACATTACATAGTTTGAGATCCCAGTCATCGATCTAGAAGACTAGACCTAGGTTTTCAGCAGCGTTGGTTCGTGGAACCACTACAACAGCCAACATTCCATTGTTTTTATAAGCGATTCAAATTAAATAGTAATCGGATTGTATATTGGCTATGGGTTTTAATACACTCGTTGGTCAAAAGCTAACAATGTACAGCACGTACAACGGTCGTGGGTTTGATCCCATCGGGTCCAATATGTTTCTAATCAACTTATTATTTCTGATATATTTTAGACTTCGTCTATATAGCCCACAAGATAAAAAAAACAGTGGTTTCAATCTAAATTAAGTTACAGCCGGTGGATATCTGAAAATTCAAAGTAAAAAACAGCCTACAGTGCACTTCATTAGGATGTTATATGGCTGGGATTCTCCTTCCATCAAGTAAACTTGCTTCATCAGAAAAGGTCCTTTTTTTATTAAATAAAAAAAATGTTCATGCTCATGGATTCATGTTAAAGTTAACGTCCTCAATAATTGCACTATTTACTGATTATATTATTATCAATGTTTAATTCTTAATTCGTTCATATATTGGATAAAGATAATAGGCTTACGATAAGCTTTAATTCTAATCCGAAACTTATGTGGGTCAAGAGAATTAGGTATGACGATTAAATAAGTACTAATTTAATAAGATAATTATAAGTATAGCAATTAGTCTTTGGTTAGTCCAAGAATGGTCAACAGACATTTAAAGTGCCACACGCGAGTGCTAAACATCTACAACTTTCAGGTCTCAAATTTCAGGTCTGGACGGTCCAGAAAGCTGATGAACCCGTAAACACAATACTTCGGTAAAGCATGCAAACATGCAGCAATTTAGAAGGTTTCGTTGTTGGTCCAAAGGTTCGATCTCCAGTAGGTCCAAAAAATCTATCATATTTTTAAAAAGGTAGGAATAGAAATATAGAAATTCTGTCAGCATGGTCCACTGAATTTAATTATCAGTAATTTTGTATCTCTGACTGTCCAAAACCTAAATAGGTCAACACGTCCTGTTTAGAACAGATAATGATATAGGTCAGTAATAAAACTACGGCTAGGCTATATAACCATGCTTATCCTCCAGCACATAATAAGTGATTTCTCTCATAAGTACCTGATAGGCGATATAAAGCATAGATATGTTGTCATTAGCGTTAACAGTGTGTTTGGCATCAGCCAGTAGATCGAAGATATTGGCCATAGTAGAGGGAACCCAGCGACGCCGCTGATTGAAGAACTCATCAAACCGTTCTGGACAGTGCGTGTACGAATCGGACGCAGCGGAGTACTCGACTCGATATCCTCGCTGAAGAAGCAGCGTACATAACCATCGATCTTCGCCTGTATACACGAAAAGGTTTAAGAGAGGTGAGATACAAATGTATACTGTTAAAGGTTACCTTATTCTAACAGTTCAGTTCTTAAAACCTAAAAACTAAATATGTACCATAAAAAATGCCAGTTTTACAAGCATGTTTATCAGACTTTTGTGCTCGATTGAAACTACGAAGCAAAGACTTGGCACTTAAAGCATTACGTTCTACCGTTGAACTGAAATTAATAATTAAAATCATTAAAAATTCTAATGCTGTCCTAACGTCTTTCGTTTTTTTCAACTTTGATACATGCAATGTAATTTCAATCTTAATACTTGCATATTGGGTTGGTTAGAGCAATTGGATAAGCAAGGTAACAATTGGTTAAACCAACACACGGAACGCTGTGGATACCGGTTTGAATACTGTCAGTGTCGTATTAAAAAAAACTAATGTATTTTTAATTTATGTAGTGCCATCACGTTTATTATTTTTTGTCGGGAACACCGATAGAAGGCCAGGTCCACATTATCTGCTGCTCACCCATTATCTCCCTACACTTTGGATTAAAATGGATAATAATAATAACATAAGATTGAGATAATTGTCAACATACGATATTCTGAAATATCCTGGGTCTACCTGTAAATAAATAAACTTATTAATAATAAATAAAAACATACCTTGATCATACTGTACATAATGTCGCGCCTCGCTTGAAGTTAATGTATATTTCCTCATGACATTGTCGTCCATGAGAGCTTTTCCCCTGAATAGCGAGAAGCAGCCGGGACTACAAAGAACACAGCCGATCATATGTTCAGTTGCTTTTTGGAGCCAATGACCAATCGCGTACTCGAACACTTGATACCAGGCCATAAATCCTATAAAGTAATGTCAAACTAAATATAAAATCTACCGACTGATAACAGAGAGACTGAAAATCAGCGCTTAGCAAGCCTTGTAGATCCCCAGCTGAAATGAATGCCTTACAAAGTTTAAAATTTAATGTATTGTAAGTTTTATTTTATGATTTATTGTAAAAAACTCTTTATGTGTCTATGTGGACTATGAACTTATTTTATTTCATTAATATTGATATACTCATAGATATTTTTATTTCATATTACTATTCAATATGTTACCGTTTCTATTTGTCCATTTTATTTACTTGTATTAAGTATATTTATCAGAAAAGAGACTTGAACAAAACATAAAAAAATATATATAACATAATGTTTAGTGAAATTCATAGGTAGGTTTCTTAACTACCAAGAATTGGCTATTGTATCTACTATGGCAATATGGTCAGTCACATAATATATTTTAATTTGGTATCTAATGACGCAGTAGAAATAAAAATATTTATTACCAGACCCCACCGGATGAATCCGCCCACAAGCTGCCCCCAAATTCTTGTCCTTCTTCATCAAGTCAATTAGCAATGTGACTGCACTTGGTTTGAAATCAATATCTCCATCCAACGCGAGCAAGTAACTATTCTCTGCTATTACTTCTTTTCTGTCGACTGTCAACGGCAAGTCCATTAATCGATGTCCAAGAAGATAGTACATGTACATCACCTGTAATAAAATAATACATATCTTAATATACTACGCTCCTTTCAGACCACGCTGTAATATATAAAATTGTCGTGTCACAGTATTCATCATCCTTTTAAACGGCATTCGACTGATTTTTATGAAATTTTATATCCAAATTCAGTAGTTAAGGAATCGGCAACTATCTATTTTCCATAACTCTGTATAATAAAGTTTATTAACCTAACATTTTAATTTTTGCAGCAATTAAGTCTTTTCTATACGTTAATGCCCAGGCGGACGTAACGTGTAATTTGACAAGAATTCTATGTAAGCAGTACGAAAATTTTATGTAATGCTTACGCCGGCGCTTGCACCATATTATTCTTATTACCTTCTAATTTTTACCACGAAGACAAAGTTGCAATATTCGTTAGTATCCTTCATTGTTATTTGTCAAGTAGCAATTAATTGTATACATTGAAATACATTCACGAACACAATTCTGTTTAAATTCATGTGCATCGTGCAAATATTTTTCTAAATTTGTTATCAGTTTCTATTTTTTTTGCAAACCTTTTTCTCTATTTTATTACAGTGATCCTAATAATAACAATAAGTTTTTATGTGCTATTAAAACGTAATAATTAACATATCACAGAATTATGAAACAAAAAAAAATAAGTGAGTAGTTTTGTACGTTTGGTTGTAAGGAATAGTTTGAGCTTAGTTAGGTATAAAATATATTTCAAGAGAGAGTTAAAGGCACAGTTACTTTCAAAAATAATATAGAAATGTACTAACAGTATTTACATATTATATTAAGAACAAAATCATCAAAACATTAATATATCTGTAAAAGTCTATAAATAGTTATCATATTTGTTATCAATATAAAGCAATTTTCTAAGAATATACCGATAAAGTACAAAAGAAAATGCACTAGGCCAATAGGACAATATTATTAGAATTTAATAAGGTATAAACCTCTTTGTGGGGGAAAACACCTTAAAGGCCTTATAACAAAATAACATAATTATTAACATATCGTAATATATTTTATATATTGTAACTAATATGCTTCAGTTACGTTTCTATCGCAAAATCTTAAAAAAAAAGTACAATAGAGAATATTTTGCGCAACTGGTAAAATACATAAATCGAAGTATTATTTACTAAATCGCATTAACATTATCAATCAGACTTCCGCAAAAGTTATCAGTTATCATACAGTTTTATCGAAATAATGTATATTAAAGAAATATGTTTATACCGTATAGAAAGTCCTTAACACACGTTCGAGAAAAATACAGAAGAAATGGATTACAAGTCTGCGAGATTTTCCTTATTAGCGATATAGATATATTATAGAAGTAAGTAAACGCATTTCAACGTCACGTTGTTTTTTTTTCATTACAAATCAATTATATACGTCTGAACTCTTAAACCTTCTCTTTGTAAAGATATGAGACAGAAGAAACTAGTCCAGAGACAGAAAATGTCCAGTGGGATATACATCATCGAAAATTAACAATTGAGTATTACCTGTGACCATCTCTTCTTATGCCTTATTTTAGATTTATCCTTCAAATGGCATATTATCTTATTCTTTCCCGGCAATGTCCACACTAATCTTCCGCCATATGGCGTGGGATATTTCTTTGGTGGTCGCAGCCTTACATTAGTCAAGTGCACTTCCGACGCTGCCTCATCTATGGTATCCACGAGACATTTGACGAAACGATTCACTTGAGAATCTTCCGCGCTATGATCCGACACTTCATATGCGTCATCTAGGTATATGTGTGCTGAAAGTTATAGTTTACTCATACAGATTAATCATTTACAGCGGCAATAAGAGTGACAGAATAATTTATAATGTCTACAAGTTGTCTGCAATGCAAATAAGTGTAATATTGTTAAAAAAAATAGTTTAAGTTCGGCTTAAAACAACGACATTTGTGGGAAGTAAAAACACCGAAATATCCAATAAGAAATTGCAGCTATCATAGTTAATTAATAAGATTATTTTAAGTTTAAACCTACAGAATCAGCGGCCCATACACATTACCTTCAAGTTCGTAATAATCTGGATCGATGATCCCAAGGTACTTCTGAGCAACCCTTCGAGCACTTTGATCTTCGTCCAATCGTAGAACTGATTTTAGGAAACCCATCATTTCTTCTTTCGTCTCGTGCCACATGGTTGCGCATATATAGATTCTGAAATATATATTCCCTTGTGTTACATATTGTTGTGATACACCAGTCTTATGTTTTCAATATACACAGAATAATCATTAGCTATATTTATTTTCGTTTTTTTTCATTAGTGTGTTTTACACAACCAATATTAAAAATTTGAAGTTTCTCTTTGTACATGATTATTTTGGAAAGTTCTTCAGACTTTAAGGGGTGGTGCCTCATAAATTCTGTACAGAACTTTGCTGCGATATATAGGTAATAGTAATATACAATAATAGAGACCACTCAGACATATTATATTTATTAGATTTTGTTCAAAAAAAACAATTGTATAAAGTATTACCTCGGAATATTGTCGGACGGTTTGACATCTTTCGGCTCTAGAATCGAACTTGTAATTGAGGCATTGTCTTTTAGATCAAGAATATCCTGAAATAAAATTTCTTACATTTATTGCGAAATAAAGTGTAATTGCTCATCACATACGTCATCATAGTTCTTGTTACTGTTATCTCTTATCTTTTTAAGGAATCTTATCACCGTCCCTAATCACCAGCGTCAGAACGGTTCAAGATCAATTAATAAACGATAATAAAATGACTTATGTTATTCAAAGTAAATACAAACACCACACGTACACAATGATACAGCATTGAGTCAAAGTAATTTAAACTAGCAGAGCCCGCGACTAAGTTCGCCTAGAATAGTTATTTTGGGCATCAAAATTTGTTCTTGCAAACCTCATCTCATCTTTATAAATTATACTTTTACCCACAACGTCGTCCGCGTCCCGTCGTTCATACAAGTTAATTTTTAAAGAGAGACATAGAAAGAGAGATAATTTTTCTTACAAATTTTTTTGGGTATCTTGTACCGTTTTCGCAGCGCTCGCAACGGAAACCCTCAAAGATGAAACATTTTCCCCATTTCCCCGTATGCTGGTTGTTTTATAGCCTAAAGTCATACGATAAATGGTCCAACAAACACAAAATGATAGTGACCGAGATTAGCGCGTTCAAACAAACGAACTCTTTTTTAGGTAATGTTGTCTCTTTCTCACAATTTTCAACAAAGAACAAGGATAGGAAATTTCCTAAAGAGAATCATTCAACTTTTTTTTCTTTAATAGACTAAAATAAATAAATATTATCTATACAATAAATAAACAATATTTACTTTATCTGACCAACTTCAGTCGCAGACGCAGAATATATAAAGAGAAAGGCCGTAATATTTTAAAGAAGCAGTAAATTTCTTACTTCCACAGCAATATCGGCATCGTCATCCTTAGTTCTGTTTAAAAGCAAAGACTGGTCGATAAGAAGACCAGAATACCAAGGTTTTGCGAATAATTTGTCTGTAGCTGCGAGGCGTTCGCACTTTGGCGTCCAAGTGTGGATAGTTATCCAAGCCTGAGATGCCAGCCATAAAAGCCATATCCAAGTCATCTCCCGTCCGATATAATTTTGCAAATAATATACTGAAAGTACAAAACATTAGTGTTTTGGGTAATTTGAACCGTTTTCGCAGCGCACACATCGGAAACTGAACGCAATTCGAAATGTACAAAAAAACTTCACTATTATTTCTACATTTTCCACTGCATTTCGCTTCTATTGGTTGCAGACTAAGCGTTTTATAGCCTAAAGCTTTTCTCGATAAATGCTCTAAACAACACAGCATATTATTTGAATTCGAACCAGTAGTTCCTGAGATTACCGCGTTCAAATAAACAAACTCTTCAGCTTCATATTAGAAAAGATTATTTTGTACCTGGTGGTATTATATAGCTTAAGTAATCCGGAATGGTATTATGAAATGCGCAGGGGTTGGCATTTCTCAATCCGCACATATAAATAAGGACATTCACCATCACTGGTCCCACAAGACTTAGCGCGAATGTAAAACTGAATTGCTGAATAAGGATCTTGCAGGCCAGTTTCGAACAAGTGAAACATATATAAGCAGCAGCCATTTGAATAACAGCAACCCATAATGATGCTATCGGGCTCGCTTCTAGTCTGAAACTACCCTCAATTAACGTGCGATCTAGATCAACTAGGTTGTCTTCAAGAATAGCTTGAACCTGTAAAAATAAAAATAAATAAATTAGATTATTGCAAGGCATGGAGTTTACTTAATAGTATACCACCTAGGTGTAACATCTAAACAAGATTCGCTGTCGCCTATTTTGGCTTTGGATATTCGGAAATCCTGAACGGAAACGCTATTAAACTTCACGGTTTTTTATATCACTTCCAGGTGGAGTCTAACATGTTTAAAATAAAATTAGAAATTGATCAGATAAAAGTTGGACCCGGTGGGGATTACACTCGTTGATTAGTAGAGATATATTAACACCAACGAGCTCATCAAACATTTTAAGTTGAACGTTCCACGATTTTATTATAAAGAACTGAAGATACCTCGTGTACATAGTACAGGCGCTCCGTAAAAGCTGTTAGCGCCCACGAGAAAAAGGATTTACTGTCATCACCTTGAATCTCCATAGCCACCATGATACATATCATAAACAATATGATTTTCCAAATCGGAAGGAATCTATAGGTGTAGTAACGAGTTTTTTTAAGTTCGTTGCGCAAGTCGGAAAGGTATATAGTGATAACTGTAATAAAAAGAAAAATATAATATTGTGAATTAAATAATCGAAACCACGGTGTGCTAATAATTATATATTACCTTAAAATAAAACACTTCAACGGTTGAAAACGCGATGTATATTAGTTAAACTTATTTGAAAGATATTATAACTACGGCCCGACGTTTCGTATGTTTTGCAGCAGCCGTGATCACGGGGAGACTCTCTGAAGCGCAGGGCCGTAATTAAAATAATTTTCAATTAAGTTAAACTAATATTTATCGCGTCTTAAACCATTAAAGTGTTTTATTTAAATGTGTACTACTCGCGTACACTACAGACAGTATTTATTTCTTACCTGTACTGTTTCTATCAGGATTAGCGACGAAATTTTCCCACCACGTTAAGGATATAAAAATGCAAGCCACAGGGATAGTCCACAGTACCGAAGTACCATCAAGCAAGGGCCACACAACAAACGCCGTTATCTGAGCCGATGCAGATAAAATATCTAACATCATTATTATGTAGTAACGGGGATGCGACGAGTCCCTGCTGAATATATTTAAAATTCCTGGCATTATGCATAGCGCATTCATTAGCATTGCGCCTTTGACGACATCTAATTCGGGCAAAATGAGTAGAACTAGAATGGCCAAGCCAATTGTGTGCAGTGTTTCTATTAAAAATGCCTGAAAATAATACAAAGTTTGTACTAATTGGTAATGAGTATATAAAACTTTCAAAGTTTTTCAATTTTTTACTATTTTTGCTACGCTAGCGCCGTCTGTTATCAAATTACGCTTGAATTCTAGAGACGCTTGCTCTTTTATCCCCAAGAGGGTCTTGTCAGGTAAGTAAGTAAGCAAAGTTGTAGTAAGCAAATAATGGCCGCAAATAAATTTATTATTAATAATAATTACCACAAAAAAAACTCCTTTGCTCGGTTTTTTCGCAGATTTAAAAAAGCAGATTCTCACTGATCTTAAGAATATGCCGAACTCGGGTAGTGAAAAAACAATGATAATAGCCCACAGCCATGTTATCCGTTCTTCCAAGGAGAGGACTGTTATAAATTGCTTGTCAAGAGCTGAAAATAATAAATAGTTTAGGTTTAAACTAGCATTTTAATCCAGGTTTAGTCGGATTTATTTTTTACGTATTTAATGAATAGTCGTCGTTAATTCGTCGAGCATGGTCATTGATTTAAAAATGAAAGTCTTTGAAGCCCTGGTTAGGGCCAAGACGCATTTAGCCAACGTGATATATTAGGGCCTCATCATCGTTAGTGCGATTAATAAAAACTCTTAAAGGGGGGGATAAAGATGATGATGATGATGACTAAAGAAAATTAGCTGTCTATTATAATTTTACATACTTACCCAATGCTCTATTGCAATGAGGTATCTGTCGATCCTTCTTCAATTGCGATGTCATAAATAGCAAAGTTCCTTTAGCTAAAACGGCTGAACCTAGCACCAAAATAAATACTATGATATAAGCCAGAACTTTTAGAAACTTTATGCTCGTCTCCACCCATTCTGTTGACGCCATAGACCCAGTCTCCTTTTTGACGGGCACGTCTCGAAATAGATTCCATCCTTTTGTTTCTTGAGTTGTTCGTTGGCTAAAAGGAGTAAATATATTTTTTAAAGTAGTTAAAATCTTTTTTTTATAATTTTTGGCAAAAATGTAATACTATTCCGGTCTCTATCAAATCTTATTACGTAGCTGTGCACAAACAAAGCTAAAACGCATACGAATAAATACGGTCGGAATAGCTCCGTAGACTTGAGAACTTCTATAGAAATGGCAAGCAAAAGTGACATACGCAAAGATCACATTATATATATTTATTAAGTAATATAAATAATAATAACTAACTCCAACTCATCATTTTCATCATAAAGAGGGGTAAACTCTGAATCTGATAGGTCGCTATCATCTTGGAGACCTTTATATTCCGATTTTCGTGCAGCCATCACCTATACCCTGAAAACACAATGATTCACCTTACAGTTGGAAAAATGTTCAAGTGGATTTGTGATAAGGGGATCTTTATAAAGCTGTACTACCGTCCTTTGTTCTAAAATTCTAAGCAGTGTTGCAAAATCACAGCTTAATACACGATATGAAAGCAAGCACTTATCGAAATAATCGGATCGTCCTTATCTTTTTTAATAACTTTCAATTTCGCAATGTAAAAGAATATTATGAATATCAATGTTGGTGTCATCAAATATTGAGAGAACAGTTTGATGTACATAGATGTTTCTTTATCGACAAGGAGGCTGTAGATTCGACTCCAGCCTGTATTATTCCAGTTTTATTGATGTACTATATTCAAGCGATTTTAGATATCAATATAATTATAGATTTTCAATATATCATTTACTAGCTGCGCCCACGACTTCGTCCGCGTGGAATAGTCACTTGGGTTGAATTTTTAATTATTCAGGCTGTTTATTAATGTATGTAAGGGCGCATTTAAGTCCGCCAATCTAGGTTGTAAGTGCAACTTTGCCGCAACACTCTCACCTCACATCATTCCTACTCTAACTCCCACTCTCATTCCTACACTCACTCTCACTCCCACTCCCACTCCTATTCCGAAAAAGCCAAATAAGAAAGTTTCATGATTCTAGCTTCAAAAACCGCGAATTTCCTTACAAGCTTTCATCAACCCTTTTTTGGCATTAAAAAGTAGCATATGTCCTTTCTCTGGCTCTAAAATATCTGTATATACAAAATTTCATTTAAATCAGTTCAGCAGTTTCGGAGTTAAAGCCGGACAGACAGACAGACAGAGTTCCTTTCGCATTTATAATATTAGTATAGATTTATTAATATAAAAATTTATAAATGGTACGATAACACGGTTTGATTTTGTTGCGCAATTCTATCAATTTGTTAAATGTAATAATGTAGTTATAGTGACATAACTACAATAGTTAGATATACGGTCTTGTGATGTTTTTTGTAGATATTGATATATTCTATGATATTGTCGAACATTTTTTGTCCCATCATTAATACTCTTCGCAGCGTATGCGATGAAAGACATTTTATGGCTAATTTTTTTACACCTCCTTTAATATACATTTCTAAAGATTTCTATCGTAATCTAGTACTAAGTATATCTATTTTACTCAGTGATAATGCAGCTTTCTAATGAAAAATAATTATTAAAATCGGTCCAGTGCTTTTTGAGTTTATCCGTTACATACTAAAATACCTCTCCTTATAATATTTGTAGATAGCTATTACATGCGTCGACGCGACGTTTGTTTTGAAGTTATCTTAAGGCATATAGGGTCGAGGATTTTTTAGACATTAAAGAGACGTTCTTTCATACATAATTTTTAGGTATCTTGAACCATTTTCGTGAAATTAGCGTACGCATCTGAAACCTACAGAGATAAAAAAATATCCCCCGTTTTGTTCACATTTCTCGCTGTATCTTCACTCCTATTAGTCACATCGCAATGTGTTATAGCCTATAACCTTCCTCGATAGATGTTCTAACCAACACTAAAAGAATTTCGATTCAACCTGTAGTTCCTGAGATTAGCGCGTTCAAACAAACATTCTCTTCAGCTTTATACATTAGTATAGAAATATGAAGGCCTAATGGCAGTCTAAAAACTGTTTCTTGATATCTCTTATGTATTTCTGTGCTTTGCATGCATTTAGTAGTCAAATATTATGTATTTAGAAATCAAAATAAAGTCTTTATGGAATGAGACAGTCCTATTTCTGCCTGTTCCATTTGCCCAAAACGTGATATTTATAAAAAACAAATGAAGACGGCTTATTTTCTAGAATTTCAGCTGAACTTAGTCAAAGGACATACAAGCGCTATGAAAAAAGGAAAAAGACAAAATCATAATAAAATAATATTTTATGTTGAAATTTGTTTTTTATTTAATTTGAATGAATTGAATGCTCATTACAATATAAGATACAAGATACAATATAGCTATAACATGCACTACGCACTCGTAAAAACGATGATTCAATAAGAAAATAATTTGGCTACGCGTAAATAAAATTCAGTATACTTAGCTAGAACGAAATTCAAGTCAAATATACTGATACGACACTTGTTATTTGTAACGTCAACCAAGATTCAGAATTACATTTTAAGTAATTCTAATAATATAATAAAGCCACTTACCTGTAACATCAAAGAAAACACATTATATCAATCACTCACTAGTTAAATTATATTCACTTTATTGTTTATACGCACAAAGCAAGCTAATGATATTCAAGTCCATCGACTGACTAAAATCCCCCATATCAAAGCCGTCATTATAATAATTATCAATTGATTATTTGTTTATCAGCTATTCAAGAAAATTGTTGTGCGTGATTTTTTTTTGACATTCTAAGCGGCTTTTTTGCTAAGATCTTATCAAATAAAACAGATTAGCTAAGTAGTAATTATAATACGCGACGATATTATTCTTTCGATAACTGCTATATGTATCTGTCAATGTTTTTATTTATTTAGTACAAATTTTGTATTAAAAGAAAGAAGTAATTTTGTCTTTCAGTACCATTTACTTTCATAAGATATTAATATTATCGTCAATAATAAAAATCTTTTATATTTGCTAAACCATTTATTGTAAACCCATAAAGTTATTAAATGCAAAGGGTACATTTATTGGCTTTTCTTATCAATTTGATAAGGTTTGACAAACATTCTACATTTGAATGAAAATAGAACACAATAATTTATAAATCGATAGGACCTACCTTAAGCTAACTTCACGTTGTAAAAGACGTAACTTATGTAAACTTAGACCTTAAGACATTTTCAAAACTATATAGCTTAGACTAAGCTCTCAAAAAAGGAGACCCATAATTATTTATACTTATTTTAAACAAAGTTTTCACAGTATGTAAGTATTTTTTTAAAGATATTATATTTTAAATATTTTTTTCATTAATTCAAAAGAGGCGGAAAGTAAGAAAAAGAATACATTTACAATAAATCTTAGTGCTGAGATTCACTGGAGTTTCTACTACTATAATCCTGACTTTTGCAGAAATCCATCGGATCGTTCATTTCGGGATAACTGCCCAGTCCCATATTATGAGCCATCGTATCAGCAATACTAGTGGTAGGATATGAATGTGTTGACGTAACCATTGATTGCATATCTTCCTCTGAATGTTTTCTTACTTGACTGTAATCTGCCGCATAGTCTGGCAAGGTAGTTTTCTTAGTGAGCTCCAGCATTTGATTCAGATACGAATCGCTGCCAAGACGGGACGACATGCTGTAATCTGTGACAGATGTATCTAAACTCATAGACTTTGGTATATCCTTCGACGTACTTGTATCTGCTTTCATACTATCCATTACGTTTTCTTTAACCTTACCAGTAGAACTGAAGTCGGGTGGCAAATATGCATCTTTGTTACCTTTTAATAAATCGTGCGGAGATTTCATAAGGGAGCTTTGATCTAAGCCTACTTTGCTAGATATAGGACTGCTGCTAGAAAGCGGTTTCATAAGAGACTCCTGCATCTTCAGCAAAGACGGAGACAAGAACATGTTATTCGCAGCCAGAGTAGACTTCGACATCGGATCGGGTATACCCAATATTCCAGCACTAGAGTATTTACTAGCTGAGAATAGCGCATTGGCGATATCAGCGGAACTCATCATCAGATTAGAGGCTACGCTAGCTGGAATTGGCGCAGCGGACGTTGTGCAACTTGTCGATGTACTTGTAGACGTCTTTTCATAGTTCCCCATACCACTTGTGAGGCTTTGCAAAGACGCGGCATATGAAGGAAGCTCAGGTAACTTGCAACTAGATGAAGTACCTAAGTTTGAACCTAGGCCTGGTGCCAGTCCTGACAACATACTGTTAGCAGCGGCTAAGCTATCTAGACTACTGTTACCAAGGGAAAGCGGTATGTTTGACGGGCCTAAACCTAAAGCCATATTTGTCAACATATCTAAACCAGTATGGTAGGCTGGCGGGAGCGGAGTAGATGCCTTTGAAGATTTTGAAGACGTAGGTAAAACTGGGATGTTCAGTGGTGAATCAAATTTATGCGGCGATAAAGATCCAATGGAGGATGACACGTTTATTGGCGGCACTCCGGCCGGTCTGCTAACCATTTGCTGTAACGTACTAACCGAAGGAAAGTTTGGTATGGATGTGGTTTGGCTTGGCTTAGATGCAGGAATTGGTTGAGGAACTGCCAATAGGGCGTCCAAGTCCATCTTGTCATCATGTTCAGATGCACAACCGAGTTCATCCCGAATAAACTGCCAGAGCAAGCCATCACTCTGCTCTCGTGGAAACTTGGGAGCTAAAGTCGACTTTAATTTATCTAAGTAAGTTATTTCTGGTTTGAAATTGCTCTTGAAATCGACAAAAGTATCGTCCGCGTAAGTGTTATAATACTTTATGCTTTTCTTTATTTGCATCACTGCATGAGACGAAAGGTGAGTTTCATTAATCATATGGTGCTGGAGCAACAACGGGCGAGGATATTCCGTAGGTCTCTGTTCCGACGGTGGCATCACCCAAAAGAGAGTCATTGTAGATTCCAATACAGGGCTTTCAGGATTGTATGGCGCTGGAAATAGCATAAATACCTTAAATATGTATATTTTTTGTATACAAAAATGCACATGACAGGTAGATGCGAAGCATATTAGAAATAGAAAATGTTTTATTCAAACATGTGTTATCACCATATTATATCATTTTTTTTTCTTAAGCAGGATAGAATCGCTACTTACAGCATATTACACCAATGCATGGAGTATAGGATATCTCTGAAGGTCCCCTCATCTTTATTTGATATTCCAATTGATTATCACAGTCCCTTAAACTTGGCATGGCAGGGTTTGTGGGGTGAGAATGGTACCAACCCAGAAGAGTGAGACCAAGCTTTTCCACCTCCATTTGGATTTCAAATTCGACAAGCACCCTGGGTTTCTTATCATTTTTACTAATTAAACAGGGGAATGTATGTGTGATGGTTATAGCTAAAACAAAATGATTAAAAAATTCTTATAACAACAATATTAGAAAGGATATGAAAATGAAAAGTAATATATCCTTATTTTCAATAAAAATAAATATAAAGAATTACTAATATTCCAATTAATTTTATTATAGTGGCTGAGGATCGAAGTGAAACTTACTATGATTATTCATATCCCATGTTCCAGCCAGATAGCCATAGACCTCTTCCTTCTTCAAATGGCAGTGAATATCTAGTACTAAGCAAGCATTCGAACTGATAGACACCAAGAATGGTTGTACTTTACCAGCCGAAGAAAATGATATAGCCTCAATTAGCATGTTTGCATCGCTGGAAATATAAAAAGATTATTGGAGCAGATAAAAAAATAAATGTTTGGATATAAGGTTAATAATTAATCTACATAATCTTCATAAAAAAGAAGTAATCTTAAAAAAGGTAACTTAATTTCAGATTTAAGTCTACATACTGCTGCATCATTCTATTAGGCACAGTGTTGTGTTTCATGACAACTCTCTGTGGTGGCGGCTCAGGTGGGCTTTCAACTTCCATCTCTGTTTCCTCTGTATTATTAATACTCAATATTATTAAAAGAAAAAATTGTCAATTTGAAAAATAATAATTAAACTGTATTGTACTACACAACATATGAGTAACATAAGATGCAATCCTTTTCTTAGTCTTTGATATACTATTATTGTATCACTGAGATATTTCATTTATAGGTAGTTTTTTGCCTTGCCTGATCAAAGCTATTGTGTAAACTAGGACCTTTGTTTCAATTAGAATGATGTTGTACTTAACTTAAGCTTAATGTGGCTTAAAAAATATAAATATAAATAAACATTTTTTCACAACCCACCATCAGTATGCATATTTTCCCTTTGTAATTGTTTTTTCCGTAGATATGTAGCTTTGATTGTGTCTAATTTCTTTCCCTTATACTTTACCGAGGCCCAACCACAGCCAGACCTCTTATCAGGGTTAATGATTCTCTTACAATGTATGGCCCAAGCAGAAGGAGAACAGAATATTGTTTCAGTTTCGTGAGATTTTATTTTTCCATCAGCTTGTAAGTCACCAACAAATTTTTGACCCTTGATAATAGAGATATTTATGTTAGTTTACATAATTAGCAATATCAGTAGAAACAAAGAAGTGTAATTTGGTATTTCAATAATTTACCAACCAAGTATTCTATTGTCATAGCTGCTATTCCTGGTTCCAGCATTTTTTCTTCCAAAAGCATTTGTAATGTAACACAGCGACCAGGTGTAGATTTATTACCGGTCTGCGCTTCAGACTCCTATATATTGACACAATAGTTAAGTTTTGCCTATATGTTTAATAATAACAGCACAAAATTTGTGGGAGCTAATACAGTATTATTCATATTAAATGATAAAAATTCAACAATATCCAGACCTCATCAGTAAACTCTTCACCACTCCCAACTTCATCCTTTTCTTCTTTATCTTCATCTGTTGGTTCTTTGCGTAATTCCAGAGGTTTGTCATTTTTTTCATCACAAGGAAATTCACTAGGTGTGCTAGAAGCCGGCGCGTCAAAGGAGGTATTAACGTACGTTCCACCTCCCGACATTAGCGCTGCTGCTAAATGAGAGGTTTGTATATCATCCATTTTGCTTATCTACACTTTCTAGTCTTCCTAGGAATTTCGAAATAATTTTCTCCTTTGATATTCTAAGAGAGGAATTACTGCAGGGATTAATCTAATGTACGATTGATATGAACTACTATTACTGTTTATGTTTCGCATACTAATTCTAACATGTTTTTAAATATTTGCAGCAATGCCTAATATAAAGTAAGAAGTTAATTATATATTTTTTATTTATATGAATAGGCGTCACAAAATGTAAACAAATTACTACTGGCCACAGACTAGACCACTGATTAGATTTTAAATGTTACAGAATTTAAATACATGACAGACTATACCCTACCTATTGCTATCCAAAGATTCCATTTTCCACTGAGATATAACACGGCCGACGTAACTTGGCAAGTCTGAACAGAGGTTAGACTAACTTTGGTGCATGTACACTCGTAAAGAAAACTAATACTGCCATTTATTTTCGTTACTGGGATAAATGAAAGATTTTACCTCTAGCAAGCAAAAGTAACATACCAATAATTGATTCAAAGAGAATAAGGGCTACGAACACTTATCTTTCACTAAAATACAGAGAGAAAACAAAAATATAACAAAAGAGAAATAATAATATTAAATTTAACAATAAACAATCACTTTTCTAACGGACTGGACAAAATTGGATCCTAGAAATATAATTGTATAAAAAGCCATAAAGAAGATATAAACAGTAATTATATAAATAATAACTCATATTTAACTAAATCAGGTAGTTCAATAAAGAAAAAAGTTTTTAATGATTTTATTTTCCTTTAAAGGTAATCATGGTGTTGTTTATTAACAACACCATTTACTGTGTTCATCAATTCATTTAGTACAATATCTCATACGATTTAAAATCCATAATCTAAATCGATTACAAAATTTGAAAGACTAAGCGGTCGATTGTGTTGACATTAAGTCAATCACTAGCCTAGATCTTCGTCCCGCGCTCCTACTACCGTTAACATCCTAAAGAACGTTTCTGCGCAGCGTTTCGCGCTTAGATCAGGCTTGCCAAGTTACGTCGACCGTATTGTATTTACTATATACGAATTGCTAACAATCCATTTGGCATTTAATATTTTGTGATATTATGCATTTGCAATATATGCAAATGTTCAAAAGACTGAAGGTATTTTGTTAAAATATAGCCGATTTTATTATAGTATATTAATTTTACCGCAAGTGACAAATGTGAATTACTGGTAATTCAGGATATCGGTAATATAACTTATAATGGCTATAGTGAAGACTCCAGTTCTAAAAGTGATCTTATGTGGCGAATATGGGGTTGGTAAAAGCTCAATGTTTCGCCGCTTCATCAATAATACATTTTTACCAAATTCTGATCGACGAACAACTTTGGGGCTCGATCACTTCGAAAAATTGTATCATGTTGGAGACAAGGAAGTCAAGGTTAATATACTAATCTAATTAGCAATTGGAAAACCTCATATTGTTACAAAATGGAATAAACATTTGTTAATTTATAAAGATATCCATAGATGTTACAAACACAACCAATTTACATTTATGAGATGATGCATTTTGTTGACAGTTACAACTATGGGACACAGGTGGAATGGAGAGAATAGCTTCAGTGACATCCAGCTATTATAAATTTGCTGAAGCAGCTATTTTAGTATTTTCTTTAGATAACATCTCATCATTCCATGTTCTAAGTCAACATTTATTAGACATAGTAACTTATGCAGAAAATGCTAAGATTTTCCTATGTGGTAATAAATCTGATCTTGAGGGTTCTTCACCGCAAGTAACAGATGCAGATATAGAAAATTTTTGGTAAGATATTTTTCATAACTTCTTTTCTTCGTAAATCACTTAGTTGTTTTAACCTTAAGCTTTCTTCCCACAGTGAACAATGTCACAATCTCATTAGTAGTATCTACAAAACCTCTTGCAAAACGGGAAAAGGCTTAGAAGAGATGTTTAGTGATATTGCATCTCAGCTTGTGGAGTCTAATCGATCTAGGATTGAATTGCAAGCTTTGGATCACAACAGCTTCAAAATATCACCGCCTGAATCACAAGAAGAACCATCATGTAGCTGTTGAGCTTAATGGTTATGACTGTACTTGGAGTCTCAATGTATCATTTATAAAATGGTAGTATGATGCTTTGACATTGTTAACCTTTGTAGTGTAGTTTCTGTGCTGAATTGGTAAGATATTGTTAAGTATAAGAATATAACATTACAACACTAATTTTTTAATGAAAACTGAATAGTTTTTTTACTTTGCGGTTAATTCGCCCGCAAAATAAATCATTTGACAAAAATATTATTTAATCTACCTCTATTAACTAATAGAAATTGTGATTTATACTTCAATTTTTTTTATTGTGAATATTTATTGTTATAATCTATTTTAAGGTTGTATTTAGTATTATTTATTACTTTAGACCTAAGATATTATTTTTGTTTATTATTATTACATATTAAAGTAATGTCACAAATATAATTCAGATTTGAAGTGGTAATTTAATGTGACTTTCTAAGAACATACTAATAATAACCAATATGTTTTCAGGGGTATTTAAGTGAGAAAAATATTATGTAACAATGATGATATCATTCATATATTTAAATGACTAAGAGATGGTCAAAAATAAAAAAATAAAACACCTTTGTAAACAGGATATGCTAATAAATGGAAACTTATTCTGTACTAACAAATTTTCAATCAATAAATTGATTTTAACATAACATTTAACTATATAATCAGATCTTGAATTTTTAAAAATAATAGCCAAATATACATTGCACTAATCAAGCTCTCTATACATTTTGATATACTTGGTTTAAAGATTTGTAATACTTAAGAAGCCAATGCTGCTGTTTGTGTGCTTTTAATTAAATTATATTATTGTATTGTAATAAATGACTAAGTTTATTTCTATGCGTTGCCTTTTGTCATATTAAATATCATAAATTTGAATCATCAAGGATGATGACAATGGTAACAATATCACAATTCAACAATGCTGAATAACAAAAATGTTATGATTCCTGGTGAAGAATCATGACTCATCTTGATTTTATCATTTTGCTACATTTCCATTACAGCTAAACATCCAGTAGGTGCCTTTTCCATCACAAAAGAATTTAGTCCGACATTCAATGCTGAGACCATTGTATAGTTTTAATATCAACACCTTCTTGTACCATCTCCCAAAGAGGACTCATTTCCCTCAGACGTTCTACGTGCCTTATTGTTTTTTCTGCTGTGTAATCTACTTCTTCTATTGTTGTAAATCTGCCTAAGCCAAATCTAAAACAAAGATATGAATTGGCAAGATTTATTTCAGTATATTCAGAGTATTTTATTTGTAAGGTCAAACATTTTACATATTCTATGTTTATGCTCAAAAATTTAATATGCCATATCTGCCAACACACATTTGGCCAGTCTTATATATAGGCAACAATAGCCGAAGAGTGGATTTACATTCATTTTCATTCTGTCGTGTTGTGACGCCTCTCGACAGAATTTAATTCGTTAAAGCCGTTGCACATCAGATTTAGAAGATACTAAGACATCCATCTTATGATTGTCATAACTTTTTACTTGTATTGATGAAATTATATATTAGAAAAAAAACAGCCTGTAATGAATGACAGCTGCCCTAAAAGACTTATCTAATCTGTATATTTATTTTTTCACAAAGTTTCAATTGATTTGTATTTAAAAATAAACATGTAAAGTAAAAAGAAACAGGGTCCACAACACGGTTTTAGACCGAAACATTGGCCAAACGTGTTTGGCTCTACTTTGGGACAATCTTAACCACACCTAATATGACACAAGTAAAGCCATGTCTAACTTCCATAGTAATTGTATTGAACCTATACCATTCTGAACATGTCAGCCAAATATAATTTCTGCTTTACATACTACTTATGAATTATACCTTTGTATTTACACTTACCGAATTGAGCTATGAGCTAAATCTTCATCTGTACCTATTGCTCTTAGTACATAAGATGGTTCTAAAGATGCTGAAGTACAGGCAGATCCACTTGATAATGCAATATCTTTTAAAGCCATCAACAGAGACTCTCCTGCAATAAATTATATAATAATGAGAAATGATTCTTGTTCTATACAACAGTGATTTATTATTCCATCCAATTATAAAATATAGAAAATTTACATAAAAACTTTAATTTACATAAAAAACGGCTTCTGTTTATGATAGTAAATGTTGGTGTTAATAACTACATAGTTTGTATTGTATATACTGACCTTCAACATATGCAAATGACAAATTAATGCATCCAGGATACGATTGCTCCTCATCCCCATTCCGAATAACATGGGTTAATTTTGAATTTATTTTAGCCAAAAATCTTTTTGCCAATTTTTCCATCCAGGCATGATCATATGCCATTTCATTTTTTGAAAGCTCACATGCCGCACCTAAAGATACAATGTATTTAAAGAAAGTATTGGCTTATTTATGTATATAACTTTACTTGGGTTCATATTTTATTTTAACACTCACCTAAACCTACTACTAAGGGAGTTGGAACTGTTCCACTTCGAATTCCTCTTTCTTGACCACCACCACTCTGTATGGGTTCCACACGAACTCTTGGTCTACGTCTGATATACAGAGCTCCAACCCCCTTTGGCCCATAGACTTTATGGCCAGAAATAGACATTAGATCAATGTTCATTTTGTTTACATCAAGAGGGATTTTACCTATAGCCTGAGCTGAATCTGTGTGGAAGTATACTTTATGTTTCTTACAGATTGCCCCTATTTCGGAAATTGGCTGTTTTACACCTGAAAAATGTTATAAGAATGTAGTTAAGCTGTATAACTAAATGAAAATTAAAGGTCAATTTGACAAATTACCAATTTCATTGTTAACAGTCATAATTGAAACCAAACTAGTTTCTGGTGTAAGTGCAGCTTCGAGATCTTCCAATTTTATGATACCATTTTGACCTACTGGCAAATATGTTACTTGAAACCCCTCTCCTTCTAAAACTCTGCATGAATCTAACACACATTTATGTTCCTATAAAATAGAAATAGACATCCATTATTTTGATATTAAAGAAATTTTCATTATTGCATAATAACAGAAACTTATATCAAGTTTCTGATAACAAGGTAGCTTACAATTTGTGTTGTAACAATGTGCTTCTTTCTTGGAGCATAGAAGCGTGCAACACCTTTAATAGAAATATTGTTTGATTCGGTAGCTCCAGATGTAAAAATTATTTCTTTAGGGTCAGCTCCTATAAGGTTTGCTACTTGCTCTCTTGCTTTCTCAACGGCGGCCTCACTTTCCCATCCATACGCGTGCGTTCGCGAATGCGGATTCCCATGATAGGTAACAAGAAATGGCAACATTGCGTCTAAAACGCGTGGATCCTAGAAAAGAATTACAAACTTATTCATATTCGCTTGAGAAAGGTCAGTGCATGGAGACCAAAACATCGTTTTTTTTGATAACTCACTATAGGTGTAGTTGCTTGTGCGTCAAAATATAAAGGCCGTCCAACTTCTTCATGTTTAAGCGAAAATTTGTCATCTTCACCTGCAAAAGCTTTCCCAATTATTAATAATTAAAAACAACAAATATACTGTTGCATCATTGTGTTTGGTTAAATCAATGTTTACCTCTGTCTGATAAGAACCTATTATTACCCTGAAGATGCCGGATCGCATTTTCTAATTTTCCACTTAATGTTGTCTTATTGAAACCAGGTACGATATTTTTAATTATAATTCGAAACATTTTGTGTTTTCGTTACTTCTTTATTTCGATTTTTTTTTTATAAAATAATTTATGAATGTTTATCTGACATTTACTTGAATTAGTTACTTCACAGTTCACAATAGGGATGCTCGCTAATCATCTATATTGAAAGCAAAAATATCGATGTTACCATACGATAATTATCGCAACATCGATGTTAACTTACGGCGTCTCCTCACAGCCAAAATTACTTTTCCTTCAGTCAATTAATAAAAAATGTTGGGTTATGTAATGATTTAAGCTGCTGCGTAAAACATGTCGAACTTAAACATTGTGTTTTATTTTTTTGTCAATTATTAATGTAAAAATTATCCACGGATCTTACGTATATAGATTTCAGTTTACGATAAATTTCGATCATTGATATTGAGTTTTCGATTATGTCATCGGTGTTATTTGAATATCGGTCATCCCTAGGTCACAAGAGTTTTGTTTAAGTCTTGCGCTATAGAATAAAATATTCATTTTTTTTCTATACATACTTACGTTGTACTTAATGTATACTTGTAGCATAAGTTACAAATACACCATTTAACTATTCAATTCAATTAGCTGTTATCTTTATTATTATCTTTAGGGGCTTTAGAAAGCTTTTCTGTTTACAACTTTGCCAAAAATAGTAAAGCAAAAATATAATTATACTGTTAGCAAAATTTGTTATTAAAACCAAATATTTATTACTTCATTTATTCAAATATATCATCATAAGTAACAAGCGATCTTTTGAAATCCTTAGGTGGTGGCTGATTGCGAGGAGTAGATGATGGTGGCCATGCAGCCTTCGGTGGAGGAGGTTTCTTGGCAAAAGTTATACGCCAACCTTCCTCACATCCATCTAAAGCAATTTGAGCCTGGTTGGCCATATCAGCATTATCAAATGATAGGAATACTCTGAAAAATATAACAAATACACAATATTTTATTATATATATATATATATAAGATCAAAATGTATTAAAAAATTATGATTATAATACAAAAAAAAATGAGCAATCTTACTTATCATCATCTTGATCCTGGATGTATGTAAAAGGTTCAAATGACACTAAGCGTCGTCGCAGGACTTCCTCTGTAATATTTGTACCAGCTATTTGTAAAGTGTTGCTCTTGTTACCAGTATTTGGCGCATCTCCCCCTCCATGACTTCGAGGCCCTTTCTCCTCCCTGTATATAGGTAATTTACATCAAATTAAAGGTTCAGAAACCACCTGCTTTATTATCAGAACTTCTAATCTTATTATCATACAGATTTTTTAAAAATTATAATAGAAAGTAAATTCTAAGAATTTAAACACTTTCTTATCTCTTGCAGTAACAAAGGAGTCATATAAATATTTGACACGTGGAGCTGGTTTTTCTTCAGGAGGTGGGGGCTCTTGAGAAGCACTAAAGGGTTGATATGAAGCTACACCCCCTGTTGCTCCTGCTGAACCACTGAGTTTTCGTTCTCTTCCTTAAATAATAAATTACTATGTTATTAATTTGTAACAAAAACATAATCATCATCTAAGAGAAATATTTACCTGCACGAGGTCTTTTAAAAGTAGCATTTTGTGGCTGAGGAGGTGGGCTTTTAATGGCAGGAATAGCACCACTTTTAATCAGTTTTCGAGCAATTTCTCGGGCATCTCTAGCTTCCGTGGGACGCTTGGGCAATACAGGCTTCTCAGGTTCTGGTTTGGGAGATTTTAGTGCTTGAAGAGCTTTCTTTTTTTTCTTTAATTTTTGGTACTTTGTTTGCAACATTAATTCTTCCTCAGTCAAATTGGAAGGAAAGTGAAGGTACACCATTCTGGTCAATTGAACAATAAACTTTAATTATTGTTGATTTAATCTGTTTATATCTGTAATATTACATTTAAATATTAACGCAATATGTTGTAGAAATATCTATATGTTATTATTTTGTTTAAAAGAAAATACTATAGAGATTATTACTTAAAAGATATTTATCAATTGTCATTTGTCATAATTAACAGCTAACTTAATGACAATTGACTTCACTGATAGTATTTTTTTAACAAGATTTAATGGCTTGGTAACGATGTCTGTGTAACCGATTTATTTATCATATATATTAAAGTTGGAGATTTAAGGGCCCGAAGGGGGTCCCCACTTAACATGAAAGTTGTTCTATTTCAGTAGTTTTTGGTTTTTTCTGCGAAATAATTCCAGTGATCTTAATATTTGGCGTTAGAATGAACTTTTGAAATTAGGATTGATATCGTGTCAGCTACAACGGTATAAAAGTCGTGTCTTCGATATATTTACAATAAGAAAATAAATACTTGTCGGTTAGTGAAAACGTACATATTTTTTATGTATGTTACTACTTTTTACTCTTTACGTAATAAGTTATGTGCAAATATATACATTGTACATCTCATTCTCTTATAGTTGTTAAGTTCGTAGTTTAAACAGAATGACTCATTCAATACTTATTACTTGTCTTGACTAATACCAGTAGTACTTAATTGCCTGTTATCGTCTAAAATTAGTGGAATGTTTATTTTGAACCTCGTTAAGAGTGTAGGATTCCTTAAATCGTACAGAATATATAAGAGCGAGAGATAAACATTATATTAAACGCGCCAAGCTAAACCACGAGAAAAGTAGAGTAATACAACTACAGATTCCTATCTGTCGTAGAAGTCGAAAATAGAGTAACTTCGGAAAGCTTTAATATTTTTCACATGTTGGCACTATATAATTTAAAAATCGAACCCTGCTGTTGTTCTGCTCTGAGCAACAACACGTAACGCTGACGATGCCGGTTCGAGTCCTGCCCGAGTTGAAACTTTTTTCATTTACTCTCGATTTTAATATTATAGAGTAACTTTATCAATAGTCTACTATCACTGCTTTTAATTTGGCTGTTGCTATCTCTGATAGGAATGACTCATAGATATGTGAAGTATTTTCTGCAGTTTACGCGAGTAGGAGACATTTAAATAAAACACTTAACGGTTAATATATTTGTTATATAAGCATGAAACATAAGTTATTTTACGTAATAACAAAAATCTGTTAATAATAATTATATCTAACTAAGATTTGATGTTACCATAGTCGTTATGCAAATGAAAAGTAATGATTCATAGGTAAGTTCTATATACCTACATTACTTCCAATATTGTTAGGTATAACTAAGTAGTTAAGGAAAGGCACGGATTGCTTGACCTTAAGTACACGCAGTCTCATTTTGTATTCGTCATTAATTAACGATTGTGTATTAAAAGTACTCATTGTTGGTTTTTGTTTATCATTACTTGTTTGTTAGCACGGATTAAAGCACGTCTCGAAAGAGTTAATATTCAGAATGCATTTTAAGGAGATTTGTTTCCTTGTAACTTTAACCGTTATGTTTATACATGACGTGAAAGCATTACCAAGAGACAGTAGCGTGATAAAAACAGAATCTGTATCTTCAATTCAGGATACGAGTTTGCCAAAAGTGAAAGAGCCATCGAAGGAAAGTGGTACGTACGACTGAAATTAAGTAATAATTTATATTTAGTTCACAACTTTAGCCTTTCAAGCATTGTTTCAAAGTGTAATCCAATATCTATTTATAACCTATAGACTAGGAATTACTTATTAGTATAGTCTTTCGTACGTTTAATGCATAACAGGTATGATGTGTACCTAAGCAAGTATTTTTCTATAACATTAATTTAAGTCATACATTTAAAATGCAAAGTATGACTAAAATAGTATTGTAAGAATTGAAACAGACCTCTGAATATTTCCTTGTTATTATTTTATTGTATTTTGCAAAAATACTTTTAGTTTAAACAGTTCCTATCGCACAACGCTAGACAGTTGTAGTTGGTAAAAGTATGTAAGACGTTACTCATGTTTTGATGACGCAATATTTCTGAAACACTAACAAATGCATCAGCATAATATTATTAATATTGCAGGAATGATGATGTCATTTATATTTACTTCTAATTTTCCTCAGGATTTTCATGTTTGCCTCGTCTTCTAAAATTTTACCACATCAAACCCAACTCCATGAGTACTAAACTTTGGTTTAGCCTCGTATTATAGGAATAAAAAAAATATGTAAAAACACTCTCGACTATAAAAAAAATGCGCATTTTAAGAAATCAGGCGTATTGAACCAGCTAAATACATGAATTTTTGTTGATTTTTTTTCAGCTATGGTTATACCAGGACAAGTCATATGCAAAAATGATAAGGAGTCCGAAGAACCAGCCGAAGATGTTATCTGCCAAGAACATTGCCTGCCGAAGGGATATTCTTATGGAATCTGCGTTAGTGGAAAATGTAGCTGCATATAAACCTCGAAATAAATTCACATAGGATTTACTAAAAAATCATAACATTTTATACTTTTTTATTGCAATAAAGAATTTTTATTTCTTAACTACAACTAGTAAACTTATTTGGTACTAAGTTAATACTTATCGATAGTTGTTATAACATTGATAGATCTTCCTTTACCTGATTGGCTTAGATTAACGAATCATGTTAATGAAACAAACCATAAGTGAAATTATTTACAAAAGTTGTTTGTTACATAGTTACAAACAATTAAAAAATAGTTAATGTACTTAGTTATTATTATCACATCAATGTAAACGTTAACTATTTGGATTTCTCACACATGTTAATATTTTTTATATTTTCATTCATTGTTGTTATAGATTTCATATGCACCTTTTCGTATGTGATTAAAGTATCAGTCTCGTCTTTAATGAGCTTCCAACTCACTTCAACATCTTCTTTTGTTGTGAACTGTGAACAAATGACCATTCGTATAATAAAACGACCCTTACAGGACGCGCCTACCATAAATATTTTCTTTTTTTCTGTCAAGTTATTCAGTAATTTCTTTGTAATCTTGTCTCCTTCAATGAGCCTAAAGCAAACCAAGCCCATTGCCGGTTCCGGCTCAATTATGAATCTGTCATCTGCTTGTACCAAATTCGCAAAGTGTTGAGCGAGACCAACTTGACTTCGTATGTGGTTTCGTAAGCCTTCAGCACCGTACGACTTCATGACTGTCCACAGTTTTAAAGATCTGAACCGTCTTCCCAATGGCATCTGCCAGTGTCGATAATCTGGTATCTTTATTTCGGCCTTAACGTCTTCCAGGTAAATTCTTTGCACATCGAAGGCGTTAATTAAGTCATATCCGTCTTTCACCCACATGGTTGAGCAGTCAAAGAGGACTAGAAGCCATTTGTGTGCGTTAATATCGAAAGAATCTGCGTATTCGATTCCTTTCATTAAATGCCTATACTCCGGACAAATGAAAGCAGCGCCGGCGTAAGCGGCATCAACATGTAGCCATGCATTATATTTCTGACAAATCGGACCCAACTCATCTAGAGGATCGAAAGCACAGGTTCCTGTCGTTCCTAAATTAGCAACAACATAGCACGGTATAAGCCCGTTCGCTATGTCTTCTTCAAATGCCTTTTGTAGCGTATGCCCGCGTAGTCTTCCGCTGGGATCAGCTTTTAGTAGCTTCATTTTCATACTTCCAAGCAGGCCCGATTTTTCCACTGACGAATTGCTTTGATCGGACGAATATGCTACAAATTTAATTTTAGTCAAGTCCTCGTCTATGTCAGGATTGAGTGATTTGAGTCGACGAATCATTTTATCTTTAGCTGCCAATAAACAAACGAGCGTCGCCTCGCTGGCTGAGCCCTGTAATACAATTAAAAAGTTTCGCCACTGAATATAAATTTAATCAGACAAGAGATTCTGTAATGTTAATAATATTATGCATACCTGGATTACACCGCCACCTGAACCGGGAGAGCAATTTAAGAATTCTTTTGGTAGACCTAAAAGTTGTCCAAGCCAGTTCATAGTGACCACCTCTAATTCCGTGCACGCAGGACTGGCCATCTACAATCATAAATTAAATGATATTTTATTTAAACTAGGTTTTCCCATAGTAAGTTATGTATAATAGAAATAAAATTACTATAACAATAGTTAAGACAATACAAAACATACCCAAGTAATTCCTACAACTCCTAAGCCATCTCCTAATAAGCCTCCGATGATACTAGCAAAGGAGGTGCCCGTGGGATAATACGCATGAAATTGCGGCGAATGCCATCTTGTTGTCTGAAAAGATACAGTTGTCTTAGACTAATGTTATATAAATAAATGAATATATAATTGACAAGTAGATCTAGATGTAAGTAGTGTAATAGAGCTTAAAGAATATTTAAAAAAAAAAACACCTTTACCATTTGTGTAATAGAGGAGTTCAAATCTCGGGAAAGAAGTCACAAAAGCGAGAAGGTTTACTTGTTAATAAAACATATAAAAAATGTGTTGAAGGCCCACATTCAATATATACTTATCATAAGGAAGCAGACACTGCTTTGTGGATGTCACAATTCCTAATTTATATAATAATATATATGACATTATAAATCGCGTAATGTCATTAATTATTAAGGTAAAATTGTAGGTAGGATTTAAAAAGAGTATCTGATGATACAAATTTATTTGTGTATTTTTTTGGGCTGTCTGTTTATATCATATAACATAACATAAACAAGGTTTTTTATATGCCTAACCCGCTAATCAGTAAACAACGCGCAGTATTTCTACGGTAATTCTGAATGGTTTCAGCTAAGCTTAGCAAAGTTTATTATATGCTATATATTTATAAGCAGATTCCAGTTAAGTATGACGCAGGGCAAGTCACTGGAACAAATAGTATATATGTAATAGGTATCAAATCTTACTCCGGGGACAACGCTGTCGGTAAAATGTTCAAAAATAGTTTTCCAATCTTCTGCTTGTTCAGGCGCTTCTTTCGGCAACTTGTTGATAAGGTACCCTGGTTCGACTGAGGGCAATACATCTCTGTAATAATAAATATTAAATATTGTTTGAAAGAAAGGAAATACTTAGAAAGAATTTAAGCTATTAATATTATTTTATTTGAAGTGGTTTTGGGCTTTTTTTGCGAATGATATATATTAAAATAATATCTAGCTATCGATTAATATAAATAAAATTGTATTAACCTTCATTAGCCTACAAAATTAACTATAGTAATGAATGATTTTTTGTTTGATTTTTTCATTTCAATGGCTAATATGGTAAATATATTATTCGAAGCCAAATCGTGTTTTATGGATATTTTAATAAGTTCTACGAGATTTAGCATTTTATATACATACGTTTACAATTAAATACTGTCTGTACATTTAAATAAAACACTATAATGGTTTAAAACGCGATTTATATTAGTTAAACTTATTTGAAAATCATTCTAACTACGGCTCGACGTTTTAAATGCTTTGCAGCGGCCGTGGTCACAGGGAGACAAATGGTCTTGTAGTAGTTAAATAATTTTCAAATAAATTTGACTAATATATATCGCGTTTTAAACCGTTAACGTGTTCTATTTATATACGTTTTCATTCTTTTGTTATCTTTGTTACATCAAACAATTATTTTTATTGTTATGACATACTTCGGGTGAGTAAATTTATTAACAATGGAATATTTGCGTGGAAGAAGTAACTATAATAATTATAATTGAGAGAAAAAATAAGATGCTTAGTTAATTATGTAATTGCTATTATTAGTGTGGTAACATTTTGATTCATTGTGTGAATCAATAGTTCCTACCGCTAATCTTGGATTTGGTTTTAACTAAGCAATCTTCATTTATAATTTAGCCTTATTTCATGTAAAAAACAGTAAAACACTTATTCGTAATACTTTTAACTCACTCACGATTTCTTTGATAATACTTAGGTTTTTATATGATGAAATCTATTGTACAAAGAATATTAAACTCGCAAATTTTAGTGGATATATACGCCAGTTGTATGAAAAATAATTTATTTTTCTAATAGTATAATATAATATAACATTGTAATCGTAAATACCTATAGCAAATTCGTTTACAGTTGTTTTTGCTAAAAGAGCATTTGATCTGCCGTTGCTTTACAGTTGTTGCAGATAAAAGAATTTTAATAGTTATAATTTCGAGTTTTAATTTTCCAATTGATAAAATTACATAAGCGAAAAACACCACAAAAGCTCGGAGAAAATAAATTGTTTGCGAACCCATTTCATATTGGAAAGAAAAATATATACCATTTTATAAAATAATATATATTTAAAATATTTACCGGTCGCGTATGTTATCGTAGTAATCAGCCAGAAAGTCGATGGCTGCTTTTCCAAACTCCCGAAACTGCTGGGAATCCATAATACATTACACAATAACGTCAACTCAGAAACGAACAGATTGTAGGTCACAAATGTAGGAGACACTTGACGCTGATGGGGCGAATAGCAAGACAATGATCTCGATCTTTCATGACTTGTGGATTTATAGTGACACGCCACGCGCGCCAGCTTTCTATGTAGGCACCCACGGTGTACTTCCTTTTTAAAACAATATACTGAATAACTTCTTGATAGTATTAAAAAAAATCCCAACAGCAAGTAGCAAGACTTTATTTAATTATTTATCTCAAGGACTCTTTGAAATCTTTGTATTTAGTTAGTCCATTGATTTATTAATACAATTATTCATTACACATCCTTGTGTAATGGATGAAAATTGTTAAATAATTATTATTGTTTCTATTATCGGCAATTAACGATTGCTGGTAATCGTTTAAAGCTTTGGTTATAAAAAATATAATATACGCATTTATGACATTATACAAATTACTTTTCAGTCCAACGTACGAATCTTGTTGTAATATAAATTCAGCTTGTAGATCATTTTTCTTACTCGTACTTAAAAAAAATATATAATGAAGTATATGTCGGAATTGGTAGCATATTATTCGGTTTCTTCCTTAATACCTACTCATAATAACTTATGTAATACTTATTTCTAAGCTGAAAAGTACCGGTCGATGGAGCGTACTAAGTGTCTTGCTCAAGGCAATTTTGGTAGTACCAGGAACGACCACTCATTTCCTATCCTAAACGAAATCAATTTGCAACAGTTTTTTAAGAGTTGTTGTTACCGCACGTTTCAGGTACTATTATAAAATTCTTCAATAGAGTCAAAATAATATATTCTTATGGTTAGATAGCAAGAATAACAACCGGCGGATCCAGGGTCAAGGCATGATCCCCTTGAGCTGGTTTTAGGACTTATGTGGACTAATTGAACAAATTGATTTAATTTATATAAGGAACTTTTATTGAAAAGTACAGTACGTTTACGTATGTATATTAATATCTTAATTTTACTTGTATTTATTTTATCAAAAGTAAATTAAAGGTTCTTGGCTTGATCACGACTATGTGACCCCTTCCTGGCACCAAACCTGGCACCACTCTTGAGAAAAACAAATGCTGAAATGTAAAACTAACATTATTCATAACTTTAAATGTACGGAAGTATCTAAACATTTCGTGCATATTTAAGTGCAGTTACCTGGATCGTGCACAAATTAGAAATGCAATGTCAAGGTTAAAATCGATTTTACTAAATATTAAGCATATTGCATAATAAACATTGTAAAGCTGTTCGTTCGTAGCGGAATTGATTGTCTGTCCAAAAAAAAATTAGTTCTATTTTTAGATTAAATCCTAATACAATATGTAACTAATTTAAAAAAAAAATTGTTTTGTACTAGAAAGTGTAAAATGATTTGCATTAGAAAATGTAACATGGACATTTTTTTGATATCTTGATTCTTCAAATGGTTAAAATATTGATATTTAAATATTGATATTATTGACAAAACAAAATAATTTTTTATTCACGTGATCAAGCATGAAAATTAGTTTTATTTTTCATAATGATTTCTTACGAAAGTCATTTTCCAATTTGGTTAAAGAAAATATTTACTAATCTAGTTTACTATCAATTTATTTCATATTTTCACTATAATCAAATCAAATCATTAATCGAATTGATTTGAGCTTTCCACAAAAAGGATTCTATATGTGCGTATGTCCATTCCGCATTCAGATGTCAGTGTGACCGTGTACTTTTCCGATTTGTCTTGGGCCGGGATCGTAACTGGTAAGACTAAGATTTCATTGGTGTGCTGCATCAAAGAGACGCGATCCAGACGTGGTAAAAGAGCTCGGGATGAGATTCTATAAGTGCTTTCACTGCGTAAAATGTGCTGTACTTCAGATATATTCGTTCCACCTTCACTGAGCAACATACTCAATATTATCTTTCCAGTGCCCGTCTCTACAGAGTATTAATATGTATATTTATAACTTAAACAATTCAATGTTTACAGCTAATTTAAGTTAGTGAATTTTAATTTCGTTAATAATTACTAACTTAAATATAATTCGACCACCTCTGTCGCCAAATAGTAAAACGTCTGGCCAGCGTTGAGTCCGAAAGGTCCTAGGTTCGAATCCTAACAACAAAGAAACTATAGATTAATAAATTGGTGCATGGTGCATGGGCATGGACACAAAAATGTGTTGCGAACACATTTCTGTGTCCATGCCCCACAGGAGGAAAACGGGGTTTCACTTTTTTTCAATATAATTAATTCATGTATAAGTAAAGAAGTTTTAACGCGATTCATGTTTTAGTTAATTACTTTAATTCAACGTTTAACTGAAATATTATGGTTCTAAGCGTAACTACAAATAAAACTTGATTAAGATTAGAATGAGATACGATGTATCTCAAATAGAGATAAGATACTTGTAAACGTACCTATTAATTGGTCGAATACTTGCATCATAATTTCAGAAGCGTGCTCAAGTAAAGCATATCTAAGAGATTTTAGCATAAGTTCGTTACGATGTGGAATCGTTAAGACTGTCGTCCTATAACATTCGCACGCTTCTCCGCAACTGCATGGGTCCATTGGCCACGTCTTCACTTTAGCCTGTAGGGTGTCTATGGCTAGATCCCACCTAGCTTGCGTTGTTACCTTTATAAAGAATTCGCCTATTTCGCTTTTAAACCAGATCCAGGAATTTCCAATTTGAGTGCTAAGACACACTATCTGTAAATATAACTTGTGTTCTTGTACATCCTGTCCAGTTTCCTTCGGTAAACCACTGAGAGTAATCTCCTTGTCTATAAGATTAAGCCGCCGTAAATAAAATCTCGGCTTACAGTCTCCAGGATATCCTACGGGGATCGTGGGTTCAATGTCAGTTAAAAATAATTTAAAAGTTGCCGTGACGGTAAACGGCGATGCTACCAAAACGTCGACTCTATTCGGGCGGTACAGTGGTCCGGTTACTTTACATTTTCTAACAGGGTTCAATAAGCCAATATAACCATGAAGAACGAATATAAGATAAGTGTCGAATATTCTTGTTTTATTGTAACCATGTACTAATAGGATTGCTGTCTCCTTTTCAACAAAGTTTGCATTATATTTCACGCTCAAGAACATTTTCTTCCCATTGTCGGGTGACGATATTTTCTCAACGGTAAAATTATTCTTGCCATTCTGAAGAATAATATGGTTAAAAATTAACGATTCTTGGCTTGTTGGGCTGATAGCGAGCTGTCGAGTTGAGCTTCTTAAAAGTGGCGGATTAAAGTGTACCGTGTCTCTCGGCTTAAACATAGGCAACGCCACATACAAATGTATTGACAGAAACAGCATAAGTAGGAAATTTGGCTGCAAAAAATCCATGCTACTTACAGGAAAATATAGGCGTAGCAAATTTAATGCCTCAATTATAAGACAAGCGTTGTTTATAATACAACTTTCTGAGTCGTTGTTTGAAGTTACTTCACAGTAAAATGAAAAGTGGTTAGCCATAAAAGGACAGAATGTAATTATTGCAGATATAATAGCGATACCATCAGATAAATCAGTTGTTATATTTGTTATTGTTTTTACTGGTTTGTCTCTACCACACAGAGTTGCATGTTGGTGGTGAATGTTTTCATTGTACCAATCCATAAGAACTTTTACGACGTCTCTTGGTTGTGAGCTTACACATACGCAGTCAAAAAAACAACTGTCCATTACAAAAACCTTATAACTCTGTAATATAAAATCGATCCAACTCTGTTTATTTAATCTGTTGAAGAGAGCGATGTCCGATCTTAATTCTTCTATGAGTATAATGTCAGCGTTACCTTTCGCTGCAACATTTTCTGAGTAAATAAAAAATTGTTCATAACTCAATAGAAACTTAGCTTGCAAAACCCATAAATTCGCACCACGAGATCTAAGCAATCCAATAACTTCCCGGTAAGTATCGTGAATTTCTTTTACATTTTTAAATGATTCATCTACCCCTGTTACTCTACAAAAAAAAGAATTATATAGCCATATAAAGAAACATCGAAGACGATAGATGAGGTTTTTGACTTACGATATTTTCCTAACGTGTTTCATTAATGGTCCTGCAATTCTCTTGACAAAATTTAAATAAGACACATTAATTCCTTTTGTTTTTGTACCTCCGCTTTGTGAAGATAAAGCAGAAGATATTGCGTGAAATGTATCCGGAATAATTGGATATAAATCTCTTCTAAATCCTTGTTGGAACATCCATTTTTCCAAAAAAATTGTGCACGTTTCCATATATTCATAGAGTTCTCCTTGACTTTTAAGAGGATAAAGTGGATATGGATTTTTATTCGCTGTTACAAGAGAATTTGTGTGTAACGTTAGGGGGCAGTAGGTAAAACAAAATGTAACCTCTACATCACAACAAGCGCCACTGACGTGACTGAAATGTATAAACATATTTCGAGCATATGACACTTTGCAAGATGCCGTCAACTTTACTGTTACTATAGTAAAATTAGTATCTTCTTCCTGAACTACTTCGGACTCTAAAAGTTTTACTGTCAGATGCATTTCTTCTTTTGAACTACATGAAAAGTCACCTATAGCAGAAGTTGTTTCTATACGTAGAGTTATCGTTTGAAATACTTCCTCATTGGGATGGCAAGGTGGAAATATTACTCTGTGCTTACTAGGAATCATCACAGGCGTCTGCTTTTTTCCGACAAAAGTTAAATTATAATATGGCGTTGTCATTTGTTTATCTAAGTACAACAAAGCTACAGATACGAATCTGCCATGGCTCTTTGGATGGAATATCACTGTCAATCTTGCAACCATGCCTCTATCGAGCTCAAACTTAATATGCGTGTCATTTATAATTGACTGATTTTCTTCCGTATTTAAGTCCAATGTAAAGTTTGGTGCCAACTTTGCGGTAAGTATTGTAATGTATAAGTAATATTTGGATACATTAGTCATTGTAAACTCTAGACTAACATATTTATTTAAGCCACAGTCTAACTCAAATTTTTGAACAGAAAAATCTATCCAAGGAACTGTGATAACTCCTGTTAGACGACAGTAGCTAATGTCTTTATTTACAGGTTTGAGCTTAACTTTTGAATTATTTTCATAATATCTGAAACAAGAACGATGAAATTTTTAAAGATAATGTAAACAAGAATTTGTCAGTTTATCAATTATAAATGTTGCTGTATTGAAGAAATGTAAGTTTAAAAAATAAAACATACTTTTCATATTCACCAATATAATACTGAAGTTCAGTGGACGAAGCATCTTCACAAGGAGGTCCAAGCAACCCGTTGACTTTAAATGGAATAAACATCTCATATTCTCTTCTAAATATATCAAAGATTTTTATAAATACGGTTTTAGACTGTCCTCCTTCTATGATAAACTTAAATATTCTCTGTCGTTCATTTCCAACAGCTTGATAAACATTAAAAATATTTTCATCTCCCGTATCTAACACTTCCACAACAGATTTTAATGTACTTATGTTTTGAAAAGTTACAGGAACGTATGTGATCATATTACACGGGACTCTCGACATAATTATATTTTTTGGATGAATAAAAATTTTGGGTTCTACAACATTTCCACTTACAGGTAATATAACATTCTCCTTGTTGTTAATTTTTACATATATATCGAATGCAAATTCTAAGATACAAGGAATTTTTATAGTTATTTCGAAAGTTATTATCATTTTTGGCCTAATTGTTCCACACATAGGCTCTACCTTAAAGCCAGGAATTAAAGGTTCTACAACGTGAAATAATGCTATTTCTCGGGAAGAGTTCTCCAGCTTAACTCTTTCAATTGTTTCTAAATTTAATGGTATATCTTTAAACACAACAGCTAACTGCAAAAACTTAATTGTGAGTTTTCTAGTGATTACACTAAGTTCAATTGGAATATGTTTAAAAATCTTTCCTTCGGATATCAAATCAACTTCATGTGTTTTTGTTTTTGTTGCTTTACATACATAAACAACGTCACAAATCTTGCATGAGTGTTTAGGTATTGTTCCAAAAGTAGGTGTGATTTCAAAAGGCATATCGGAATAAAGTTCATGCCACCTAAAGTCAACTGGTAAATTATAATGATTAAATATCTTTATTGGAACGGATGTTATAAAACTTTCGGCACTAACCATGCCAAATTTAAGACATTTATCATACAACGTAAGAATTGGATTTCCAACTTCAAGACGATAAGATTGTTTTCTGTAAAACTTTTTATCAATAACGTATTCAAATGTTCCTTTTAGATTACCTTCTACGGATCCCAAGCAAAATAATACAATTTTTTTTTCACTGAAAGGTCGAATTCTAATTTTTAACGTCTTCTTTTTATCGTTTTCATAGAGGACTAAATTATCTTTAAGAAACTCTATAAGAAATTCATGTTTAGTTTTATTTTCAACGACCAATTCGTGTTCCCCATAAGTTAATAAGCCAACTCTTCCAAAATTTAGGCAATATGGGTAAAAGACAATATTAAACAAGTCATACGGCGATATTTTTTCTGATATCTTTTTGCAAAAATTTGTACCTTTCTCAATAGTCTTTTTTACAACGTCGGAATAACATCTCTCTTTTCCAGTGCAAAATTTTTCTAGAATAGTTTTCTTGGCGCAAGAGGATTTGGATACCTGCAAAAAATTATAGGCAGTCTCTTTGCGTGTTAATTGAGTCGCTATTTCCTTTCCGACATACGTGTATTGTGGATTTGTATACTGTAACTTATGAAGCGACTCAATTTTTGTTTCATATACTGTCTTTTTTTGATAGATTACATTCATGTTAAACTTTATCATATACGTAAGGTAGTTGGTGTTTTCATCACCTCTTTCATCGAGGGAAGTATTGTGCTTATCATGAGGATTTCTTATTTGAAATGTTATTTTATTACCCAACTTCAGACACGTGGGTTTAATAGAGATTGTAAGTTTATTTGATGAATTCGGAGTGATACTAAAGCATTGTGGCTGCACTTCAAACCCTGTTACTCTAACATATGTCATGTTAGCTGTCATATAGTTCGACTCATTCCAGATTCTTATCGTTTTAGTTGTTCTAGTGTTTATTATGACATTACCAAAATTAACCACTTCAGGGGTATGGCTTATTTTAGAATATTCAAACTGCCCACTGATATAATATCTCCCTATTTCGGAATGAAGTTCATTGTAACAGCAACGACTATCGTCCACTCTTATTAAACGCAAATCAAAAACAAATCTATTATCAAATTGTTTGCTTCTTTTTGCTTTTGATATACATTCAGTCTTAGGAGTGAATGTTATTTCTATCGAGTGTTCGTCTTTTGGAATAACAGTAAAAGCTCTGTGAGATGCAGATATTTCACGAGCATCATCAAACTTCTAAAAAACATTATGTGACCATTATTTTAACCATAGAAAAAACATTAATATAAAAAAAATGCTTAATTACCATAAGGCTTCCTTCACAAATTGTTTTTAAATATGAAGAAGTATTTAAGTCGTTTTCAACATCAAGAGTTTGTGTCGTGGAAAGCCCAACAAACGATATTGGAAATTCTACTACTCTAAATTGTTTAAATACATTATCTAGATTATAGAAATTACAACCATTCATGGTTGCTTAAAAAAACAATAAAAATAGTTTAAATCAAGTATATCATTACAAATAAGTATGTGAATTATTAAAAATCGCAAAACAACAATGAATAATTTAAAGTCACAATTGACAATGTAAAATAATGGACTAGTGAAGGATGATATTAAAACTTGTTGAATGTTGCCAGTTTATTATAAATTAAAACATATATATAAAGCCTTTTTTAGTATATTTATCTTTGTTGTGTTGTTCTCAATGTAAGATTATTCATAGCAAAACGTAAATTGTGTTGCAAGAAAAAAGGTACGTTCTTATTGCAGTAATAAGTAAGTAATTTAAAAATTCTTTTTCTTTTAAACACAACCCAGCAATGTCGGTTGAATAGAAACAAAATGCCCTCGCGAACGGGATAACGTGTAGTAATATTGTAGATGGATGTAAGCTCCGGGGGTGTGTCGTACGATTCGGGAAAATTAGTTCGGGGCGGGGGAGCCCCGCAGGCCCCCTCGCTGGAGGGTTTATCAGATTCAGGGGGGTAAAAAATGACTTCTCAATGGGAGGGCGGCGTAGCGAGAGCGATGCAGAGGCGGGCGTGGGCGGCGCCGCCACGTGGGCCCGGCTTCCCCGGTTTGCCACTGATGCCTGCTGGCTCGAAGTTCTTCGGCTATGTCTAAGTGCCTAGTTGTTTGTAAACTACAAAATTATCTGTGGGATAGTAAGCGAGTTAATGTGTATTCTGTGACAGAAGGATGTAGTGTATAGTGTTTTATGGAACCGGAATTTGTTGCTTTTGGACCTAAACAAGATCCCTCTATGGCCTCGTCATTAGAAATCATGCATCCATTGGATCCACCACCTCCAGACGTACTATTAGCTCTATTGGCGCGGAATAAAGCCCTCGAAGGTAATTAGTTAATATATAAATTTTTATAAGCGCTTAGTTTTCTTTTAAATCATTGTTTTGTTAATATTCAAAATATTGTTACATTAAATAAGAAACGCACGTTATCGACTATTATATCATTCATTTTTTCATTTGTTTAGTAAAACACATAATAGTTTAATCACGACAGCCTTTAAAGGTTAGAATTATCGCCGCGTGACTCTTGTTCGTGGCTTGTGGTTTTGGGTTTTGCAGCCAACGCTACGCCACGCGACAGGGCAGGACTTCATCCCTCTTCGAATAGTTTGTTTATACGTACTTTTTACGAGCCCAGCAGGCCTTCGATCGTGTGTAATCAAGTTAAGTGCTCTTGTTGCGATGAGCTCTTTTTGATTTTAACGCCCATTACTTCGATAAAGTCACACTTTCCTAAATTAATAAGTACTTATTAATATGCGTAGACATACCCAACTTATAAAATGTTTTATTACATCAATTACTTTACAACATTTAAATATCTATACTTCATATTTTAACATTAACTTATGTAGGAATCTTTATTTAATCCTTATTATAGGTTTAGAGCCCCATTGTAATAAATTTTAAGTAATTAATCGAAGGAAGACTCAAAGCTAGGTCCGATCTTTATTGCCTTTTATTTCTTTATATACAGTTAACGGATAAAGGTGAGGTATAGAGGAAATAACTTTTCGCCTGTATTAGTGATCGTTTTTGTTAAGATCCCGACCTGTCCTCATCGTAGCTGTTTTATGTTTTCCATAGATTTGAACCCAGGACATCGCTTAATTAGATAGGTAACGCATTGACTATTGAGTTATGGTTTTTATTATGACTATAAAATTCATCATATCATTGTTCGGCTTGTCCGGCCCACATGAGCGAGAAGAGGTTTTCGACGTTTCGCCATCATAAGCGAGCGGCATGGAAAATGTCGAAAACCTTTTCTCGCTCACGTCGGCCGAACAGAACATATTAAATTCATCATCTCATCATTTAAATAAAACACTTGTTTTGACTCAAAACGCGATATATTAGTTAAACTTATTTGAAAATGATTTTTAAATTCGGCCCGACGTTTCGTATTTTTGCAGCAGCCGTGGTCACGAGGAGACGCAGCCACGGCTGCAAAGCATCCGATACGTCGGGCCGAAGTTAGAAATCATTTTCAAATAAGTTTAACTAATATATCGCGTTTTAAACCGTTAAAGCGTTTTATTTAAATGTGTACTACTCGCGTAAACTATAGACAGTATTTAATTAGTTAACATAAAAAGGCTTGTAATAAAAGGTAAACGATAACAAACGTAATAAACATCCTATTGTTACTTAATTGGTTGTTTATAAGTTGCGTAAGCCAATGACGTGATGATAGTGGAAAATTGTTTTGCTTAGATTATAAATCGGTTCGATAATTAGGTGTCTATTAAGTGTGTTTTTTGTCACATCGCAGCGGCTGGAGGCGATGTCTCCTATTATATTATCGCATTAGTGGCGGAAGTGGTCACGTGGCGGCTCGTGCGCGGCGGATCGCTTCCTTCCGCTTTCAATATAAAATCATAATAATCGTAAGACAAAACATTGAGGTTTTCACAACTATAACACCTACCGGAAAACACGAAGTGCACAATCATTTCAAACACATTTTTGGTATACAGGTATTTTTAAAATTTGTTCCCCAATACTTTTTTTTTCATAATATACACGTCATCGCTATTCCAATATATTGAATGTATTTATTATTAAAGAATAATAAGTAATCATAAACAAGACGTGGAATTTATAGTGCACGTTATCTGTAAATTGTTTTAAGAATATATTCATATCGACAAAATTATTATAAAATGAATGAAGACTTTATTGCAATTTGTAATTTTAATTATTGTAGTATACAATGTTGTAATATTCTGCACGTTATTTAAATTTACATATGAAATCAAACAGCCAATACATTCTACATTATGATTAAAATGACATAAAAAAACAAATTGCCGAAATAATTTACCTGAATTTTATTTTTTTATTAATTAGCCGTAATTAAACTACATCGATAATGATCCACAATAAAAACAATAGAGGGCAGTAATGATTAGCTTCTAGGGGCTCATCATATTCGCCACGGGGGGCGACATCTGGCAGATCACCGCTTGCCGCAAATGTGCTGTGAGTCGACTAATCAATAGGTAACTACCGGTATATTTGTAAGCATGTATTAAGGTGTGTTCAGTAAATATCGTTACAGATATCCAAAGTCTAATGAAAAGTTAAGGTCTACAACGAATCTTGTTTACCGCATCTGTGTTCACTTTTCACCAATTGAACCAATTATTAAAAAAACTTACAATATTGGTGAACTATAAAGTAAGATATACTTTAATATTTTTTACATCGACTATAGGTCTTACGAGTATTATTATAATTTAAAAATCGAAAATAAATTGAAAAAATTTTCTACTCGGCCAAGACATGAACCGGCATCGTCAACGTTCCGTCCCGTTGCTCTACCAAGCTACCGAGGCCTACACCTCATCGTCATAGTATTATTGTGCTTATAATTCAAACCTCACTTTATTTTACATGTAAAAGTGTTAAACTACTATTTAAATATTGTTTTATATTGATTATTGTCAATTTTCTTTATTGCACGCAGCGCATAGTTTATAAACTGTAGTCGTTATATAGCTTTAGTCGATTTTATATTTTCTTTTTTAAAATTTCGAAATGATTTCTACAATAGGCGATATAATAAAATAATCTGGTTCATAATTAGCTATGGCGTTGTTAAAAAATACTTTTATGCATTCATATCGCATATATAAAAATCGACTTCTAAAGGGCGGCAGAGTAAAATATTATTTTTAGAGGTGGAAAGGACAGCAAGTCATATTTTAGATGAATGGTTTTATGTAGGGTGTTCTTTGATTACTCAAACAGAAAGGGCTTCAGAGTACAAAGCAGCAGTGATCAGCTTTATCCCTTTGTGAGGGTTTTAATCAATCAGACCTCCGCCGTAGCAAATCGCAGGCTTACGTGATTTCTTAATATTGATGGCCTGATCATAATATAAATTATAATGGATATATGTTTTTTTGTATTGCGAAAAAACTCTAATAACTATACTTTTGAAAGGGCTCATCGATGTAATCGTAGCAATGTATAACTAATGAGTGGTCGTGCGTTCGAACCGGGTTTAATATTTTGGAAATCTGGATATTATACCGGTGGTAGAAATATGAACCACCGTCCACAGATAAAAAGCCGTTTAGTCGCGTTACGGTTTCAGTCTGTGGATTTCCGCATATTCAAAGCCAAAAAGGGTCGACAGGGCAATTCGTCAAGATTTTATTTGGCTGAGGTATCACCTTCCACCAAATGCTTATCTGTCCTCGTCTATCATAAAATATATTATTGTTATTGTAAACAAAAGTGCTTCACTATGCTTAAAAGTTTAAATACTTTTCACATGTTTTTGCACATTATATAAATTAAATGTTTTAAAAATATATGACACGGGTGGGAATTAAACCAGCATCCACACAGTTTCTTGCTGCTGCTCTAACCAATTGAGCTACCGTGCTTTATTTTGTTCTTAAACATAATATCAAAACCAGTGATACATCCCCCTTTCCCTTCTCAAGCCTTTAAGTGTTATCCTTGTTTTGGTTACTATCGTAATAAAAACCAACTATAATTTTCTTACACGATTACGCTTCACTGGAAGTTTCTCATTTTCTTAACAAACAGTGATCTACAAAACTAAAATGCAAACATGCAGATGCTTAGATCGTAGTTCTTTGATTATTTTATTGTTTCTTAATAATTATAGGTACTTTGTTAACGTTTATTGTTACAAAGATCATTCAGTAGCGATAAGGGAAATATTCAAGACTTTGTAAATATACGTAATTATTATATCTAAATACAAATATGCATGCAAAGAGAAATATATAAATTATTTTGTGTTAATTTATAATAATACCTGATGAAATCATAAAGGAACTTTATATTAAAACCTAGCTTGGTTTTATTATAGAATAAGAAAATTTATAAATTGAATTATAAAATATTTTAATTATATAAAGAAACATGAAAAGACCCCTATGTTGGAATTGGGTCGAGACATTGACCGTATCCGTAATCACTAACTCTATCGCTCGACGACATTTTTTTTCCCGAGTTTTACAGCCCTGGCCCTTTTTTGGTGCTAAACAAAGTGTTTTGTCTCGAAGCGACTAGAAGATTAACCTCCTTTATTATTCAATTAAGTAATAGTGGCGATTGAGAACCGTTTAAGGACTGAAAATATTTACTTTTATTCGTTAAAAATGTACGCAAACGAGGTAATTCAGGAGAAAATTAAGCAGATAGCCGACCTCTGTTGCTCATTACGGCGGCGTATTAAATGCGCAGACCTTTCTGATACAATATGTATTTTTACGAGCGTTGGGCCGGGGTACGCTTGCATGTTTTATGCAGGAAATCTCTGCTCCCATCCCACCTGCGCTCCTAATAAGGAATACAGATTATAAAGGACGAAACTAGGAAAGTGCGTGCACCAGTCTAATTTGAAACAATTTGTCATTTACGTCGGCAACAAGAAAATGTGTTGTTTTAATTAAACACTTTTGACGGTTAAAAACAAGAAATATATTAGTTTATTTACTTTTATTTTATTTTTGTTTTGGATGCTTCGTAGCAGCCGTGGTCATGGAATGTATTTCGCACTTTAACCCATTTTACTATTCTAATTAAACGTCGGTTAAATACTGTCTATAGTTTATGCGAGTAGTACACATTTAAATAAAACACTTTAACGGTTTAAAACGCGATATATTAGTTAAACTTATTTGAAAATGATTTTTAACTTCGGCCCGACGTTTCAGATGCTTTGCAGCAGCCGTGGTCACGGGGAGACTCCCCGAAGTTAAAAATCATTTTTAAATAAGTTTAACTAATATATCGCGTTTCAAACCGTTAAAGTGTTTTATTTAAACGTCGAATAACGATTCACCGACTCCAAGGCACATGACTGCCATTGATTTTTACATACGAATCTCGCTAGACTATATTAATAGTTCCTGTAAATAAAATCGCACAGTAAAAGGGCCACGGAACTGTGCCTGTACTTTACTCCATATGAAAAAATAGGATTTCACACCGAACAGTTTTTTTACAATTTTGAATGAAATACAGTACAAGATACCTGAATGAATAATCTCGCCACGTAGTCTGCATATGATTATTTCACGATTGTCTTACAGATAGATATACCTATAACGAGAATGCCTATACAGTATAATATATAGCATTAGGGTGGGGTGGCCTGTAATCAAGAAGAGTACAGTGGTCCCTAGGTACCACCCCGCGCCCCCGCGTCAGAACCTGCGCGAACAACCTTAGGGCAAAGCCTCAAACTTATATTGAATTTTTTCACTGCGTTTACTCAGTTCCTTTTGTAAACACTTTACAGTTTGCTTTATTTCAGTTACGAACATTAGACCGTGAGCAAATTAAAATTTATAACGAATTTCGAAATAAAAAAAAATAAAGGATTGTCAAACACCGTCTTCTGCCGCTTGTAAGTATTAATAGACTCAGGTCAGTATTTCTATTGTCATTATGAATAACAGACACGTCTATAAGAATTACAATTTATAAGTTTAACTACAAAACCAAAGACTATTCTATCGAGTTACGTAAACAAAACAATATCTTATGTATTCGGAGTACATTATTTTTAATGCCAAATGGTTTATAAAATAATTACAAAAGTACTTTAGTTAAATAATTCACATCTTTTGAGCAAAGAACAAGGCATTTTTGACATTCTGTTAAGTTAACATTTTTTTTGCAGTTAAAATCTATTCTTAACTGTAAAAAAAATGTTTCGTCACTATTATAGGTATACAAAATGTGTATTTTTTTCTTATTTTTCTAGTAAACATTGTGTTAAATAAAACCACCTCCCACTCTCTGTATTATTTAAAGCGATATTCAATAAAATTAATTGTAAAACACCGGAAAGCATTAATGAATGAGAACTCAACGTAATCACGAGTAAGTCAACAAAATGCTTTGTAATACCCAACATTTGTGCCAACAATCGGACTATAATGCACGGCTTTTGTAGAACAACAAAAGTTAACCTGTCTACCCGTCCGGCTAGATTCGATGATTTTAGGGTTGCGACTTTCGAGGGAAGCAATGACAGGTCCGAGTCACAAAGCACTTCTATACAACCATTTCTATAACCCTGTACTAGCAAATATGCAGCGTAATACAACGAAATAGCACACACAATTATATTACTGTAGAATTATTGCTTTACGTCGACATGTGGTATATACATGGTGCATTGCTTTGTTTATAGAACGTCAAACCGTTTTAAGTACGTGACGAAATCTAGAAGATTGATCTAGACTTCCTAAGGATGGATCCAAATTTTTGTTAGCTTTGCTTAAGATGTCAAATGTGATGTAAAATACGGTTTTATACATATTAGATGATTTAAAAAGAAAATGTTTAGATAGATTTATTGTCTTAGTAAAATTTTATTATGCACC